AATCCGATAATACCATCTATTGACAAAATCCGCAATCACTTAGTCGCCAGCCGAATATTTAGAAGAATCTAAAATAAAAAAATGCAGCCGCTATTTTTACCCAAAAATTCAGTATTCCTCGATCCCTTCCGCTAAACTAAATCGCCTAAATTTCTCCGGTGAAATCCCCTCCCTCCCTCGATATGCACTTACCACGATATAGAGGCCCCTGCATGTGGCCAGACGAGAAACCACCCGCACATACACGCGTCGATCCTCTCCAAGTAAGGATATATTATTCGGTTGCTTGTGTTCGGTTGGCACGGCGTGTTTAACTACCCCCGGGTGTGCGTGGATCAGCCGGCTAGATGAAGCGGAGCCGGGCCGAGATAAAACACACTGTAAACGGCCGGCCGGTCGGATATTTGGTTACAGGGAGGCGGCGGCACCGCAGCTCCGGGCCAGGTGGTGGAGCTCGTGCCGTTGAAGAAACAGAAGAGGCAGCAGCAGCGGGGGTGGGAGGCTACGTGGACGGCCTGGACGAAGGAAGGGGAGGATGCGATGCGGTAGGAGCGAGCGTGCTCGAGGAGGTTAGTTGCTCACCGGTGGCCGATGGCGAGGTCTGCTGCGGCGACAGCAGTACCACCACCAACTACAGCCACCGTTGTCATCACCTGCATCATATACATCGTCGCTATAGTCATCGTCATCAGCAACAACAACAACTACAGCGTCAACGATGTCACCAACGAAGGGACAGCGTGGCTAGCAACGAGCTGGTCGTCGACGAGGAAGCCGACGATGAGGCTACGTATCAGGACCAGGCTACCGCTGCTCCTCCTCATCGGGACATCCGTCACGAACTCCACCACCTACAACATCATCATCATCATCTGCATCATCACCATCACCACCATCACCACCCTCACCATCACCATCATCATCATCTGCATCATATCCATCAGCGACTGCGGGACGATAGACCGCCTTGCGATCGGGACGAAAACGCCGATCGCATCGTCCGGACCACCAGCAATCGCCACGCGGATGGTACCACCGCCACCGACAACCCTGCCACCGTCACTGCCATGACGAGAGGATGCAGGATCCCGCCCTACCTCGCTACTCTACTCATCCTCTCTTATACCCTCTTCGGTATAGCAGGTTAGTGCACGAGCCTTTTTTCTCTTAAGTTTGTCCATTTTTACGTCCGGTTGATCGTTATCGCGAGACGATAACGTGAAACACAGTGGTGGACCAGTGAAGTGATGAAATGATCTCGAGAATGAGCCAGTGTTGTCGAGAATTGTATCTGTGAAAACGATAAGATTGTAATCGTGTAGATCAACTCTGTTCGTTCGCAACATCGATCTAAGAAACTTTTGGAAAGTTTGAATATTTTTGCAAATTTTATTCAAATTCGGCCGACTAAGATACTGTCAGATCGCAATCTATTGGGTTGACAACTAAGCGATTGCGGATTTTGTCGTTAGATGGTATTGACAAGGTCCGCAATCGCTTAGTTGCCATGGAAATATGCAAGTTTGAAACTCGTGTCACGTAAAATTGCAAAGGAAGGTATTACCGTGTGTTGATATAATTCGATAACGCCGAATTATAAGGTCAACAAATTACGACGTACACAGTCGATAAGTTAGCGTATACAAAGCGATCCCATTGTCCGTATTTAGAGAAGGCGAACTCGAGTGGACGCGTGGCAGCGACAGATTGCGAGAACGCGACACGTGCGATGCTTCCCGAGACCCTAATCGCTCGTAACAATTACGTACATACCGCGTGAATTATCCCGGCGAATTTGTACACATATGGCCCTGTAAATGGCCCTCTAATCTTCCTGAAGCGCATAAAAGGAAACTGGACAAAAATGGAAGTAATTGAAGGAAATTGCAACAGAAAGTGGAAGTTTGCAAGAAACCAAATATTTCCCCAAATAACCGGGCATTTCTCTCTGTTAAACTTTGCAATCTTCAACTAACTGTGTCCAATAAATGGCTCCTTTTTGAAACCATAGTACCCATATAAAATTTACGATTATGTATTGTTCTTGTCGCGAATAAAAGATCATTCAGACACGTTTAGTCAAGTGGCAACTAATTTTAGCAACTTGGCGTGTGCCAAAATTTAGTCGGTTAGTTTAGTAAAACGTGGTAGTAGTTTAGTCAAGTGGCAAGTAATTTAGCAATTTACCGTATATGAACACTAAAACGTAATCAAGTAATTTAGTAAAACGATTTTGTCGTTTATTATGTTCTTTACAAGCTTCCAAAAATTTCATTCTTTTTTGTCCATTTCAAACAATTTCCGAAATTGCCCGGAAAATAGCTTGCGCCTAAACGATTACCAAATATCCTCGTTTCAAAAGATGGAAATCTCGACAGCTACCAGGTGCAGTGTACTTGACCAGATAATCTAGAAATTTGAATCTATTTTAAATCTATTGAACGTGTTTCAACGAGCCTTGATATTCTATGTGATGTTTATACAAATAACAGACGATAAATTCCACTGTAAATTCGATGTACGCGTTTTTAAAGTAGAAACACGCGCAGAATCGTGTGGCATCGACCGTGTTCGACGTATTGCAAAATTATAACAGGTGACAGATAGAGCGAGGCTCACATGGCCGGATGCAACGTGCGCTGCGGTTCTGCGTAAGAACGTCGATGTTGCTGCGAAGCTCGTGGCTCCTGGCGCGTCTCTCTTATTACCCGGCGGCCAAGTTTCACGTGGCGTGCGCGAATATTTTCTAACTTTCGAATTGTTCGATGGTATGGCAGATTAATGCGCCGAGTATCGAGTGCCTGACGTTCCATTCGATCCTCCTTGTCCGTAAGGTGGCATCGTGTCTCCTGTAAAAAGCATATACGATCCATTAGCTATGGAAAATGCGACAAAATGGAATATTTCAAATTTTTAAACCTCAGAGGGCGAGCAATCTTTCTGCTAGATTAATCGAAATGAAAAACTTGCGAAATACTTCCGATGGTTGAGGCGAAACTTTCGACTAAATATCGGGATAATCAGGTTACCCTAACACTTTGACTGCCACGCCGAAATCACACGTTTCGCAGAGGGCGCCACAGGAGTACTTTTATTATTCAAAGCATATAATGGCGCGATAATAGTAAATTGATGACGCAAGACAACATTCTTCCCCAATGGACCGTTTATCTTATTGGTGGTCACAGGTGGCGCCTTGGTAATAGTTAATAGCGACATATTATAACAAGGCTTCGCTTATTTCAACAAACCATTCGCTTTCGTTGTTTCGTCGTAAGTAAAACGTGCAGAATTTATTGTTAAAACGTGCAGAATTTATTGTTAAAACGTGCAGAAGATATTAGTAAACAGTATTTGCTCATTCTGTATTTATATAATAGTAAAGTATGTGCACACTTCTAATTTCAATTATATGATTATTTAATCATATAATTTACAATTATTTACAATTACAATTATTTATTTACAATTATCATCATTTACAATTATTTAGCATTTACAATTATTTTCTAAGGTGTGTTTATAATAATATTCGTAGATTTGTTCTCTCTTTTTTTTTTTTATTGATGTCCCAATAAAAATGTTTAATCGTTCAATGGGCACTTTTTATTTCAAAGTATCTTCTATTTATCGGTTATATTGAAAATGCCCCAACTGTAAATTTTCATTCAATTTTTGCAATTGTAAAAAGTCGAACCAAGGACCACACAGTGGCGGCGTCACAGGGGAAACCGTGGTGGGTCATATATGACCCAAGTGGCAGTCAAAGTGCTAATTACGACTTAATGATACTGATAGGAATCGGTAACGTGACAAAAGAAGATGCCGATGGAGGATAACAGAATGGGAAGAAGGTTTTCCAGTTTAGCTTTTACGAGGCACAAAGAGGGAGGAGAACGATCACTTAGACCGGCTCTAAAATACCGGACCACCCTTTGTGTTTGCCAAACCTGGAAGCCGAAGGAATTTCTAAAGCGGCTATTCGACAATTCGTCTCTCCCTTGTGCCCAATAATGGGATAAACGATGGTTGGCTTTTGGTCGTTACACAACTTAATCGTGCAAATTTGCCGCCAACATGTTCTCAGCTTTCTGGCTGTGCTTTCATTCGTCCGCCATCGTGATTTCCTCAATGGACAATGGCTGCTTTGAAAAGGCGACCTTTTTTACAGTAAATTTCACAGTATATTCCGATGGAATCGACGTGGAAATATTTTTAGTGAAAGTAATTTAGCAGAGACGTTTGAAGTGACTGAAACAAGAAACTTGAGAAGGTATGCGCTGGTGATTCTATGCATGATTAATTTTGAATGATTTCTGTTGACAGACGCCTGTTCATCGCGGTCGACGCCGAAACCACGGCCACCGACGCCGACGCCTCGACCGAACATCACATTCCACATGTACACGTGTCCACCGGATTATGCGGAATGGTACTGCTTGAACGGTGCCACATGTTTCACTGTCAAAATCGTCGATTCCCTCCTTTACAATTGTCTGTAAGTACGCCGCTGCTTCATTTCTCTTCCTTCATTTTTATCAGAGAACAATTTTGCATTTCACTAAAAAAAATAAAATAGTCAGATTCGAGGATGATATCCTTCTGGGGTTAGCTATCCGCGTGTTATTTAGCAATTAAGATAGAAAAATATTTACCAAATTGTAAAGTGCATATTAAATAATAAAAAAGAGAAAAACTTTTGCACTTGTTCTGCAAGACGGTAGGAGTTCAAAGTATATTGGATTAGCAAACTAAGTGATTGCGGGTTTTGTCGTTAGGTAGTAACGACAAAAGCCGCAATCACTTAGTTGCCAACCTAATATATGAATCGCTTAATTCTCCTCCTAATAAATTGAGGTTAGGAGTTCTACTGTGCTTAAGCGACTATTGCTATTTATTGGTGTAAATATTGACAAAATGCTGAAAAAATTTGAGGTTGTAAAAATATAGGATTGCACGTAATATGTAAAAAAACATATAAAATAGTGAAATGTAATTTAGGTTTCATTTGTTAAAATATGAGATCGCATAAAGGTCAACAGTCCATTCATAATTCCGCGTTAATTTACTAATTGAGATACTGTGTCGATATTACTATAGTGCTTCGAAGAACACGAAGTAGTATAAAAGAACAATTGCAAGATCTTTTTCCTACAATTGCAATTAACGATACAAATTATCGCACGCTTTTGTTCGGCTTGGCAATTAAGTGATTGCGGATTTTGTCAATACCACCTAACGATAAAATGCGCAATCATTTAGTTGCCAAGCCAATACCATACCAACAGACCTTTCACAATCGAATCCGCTATTAACCTTCTGTACAACATTCTACAAGACCTTTCCGAAGGAACCACACACGATCTTCACCTCGAAATGTAATCGTGATGAAAGACCACACGCGCATGAGAATGCAGCCGCAGCATTCTGCGAACGAGACTTAGTTTAATGGCAGATATTCGAATCACCGTTTCATTCGATTCGCATGCTTTTCGTATCCGATAGAACAGCCGTTAACCGATTATTACGTATCGTATCTATCGACTATAGCGCCGTGGTTACCGTTCATTTTACAAATCTACCGTAAACTATGACAATGGCAGGTTACGTTGCAGATTCGAACGCCGTCTATCCCATCGAGCCTTAATTTATACTTTGTTTAACGCGATCGTAGTTCGCCTGGGAAAACGTTACTTCATAGAATATAAAGAAAACACATAGCGTTTCGTTTGCAGCACCGTTTAGCGTCGTTTTCGCTGATAACCATCGATCGTCCATTCCTGTAATCAACGTTACCTAGTTTCAGGTATCTCTGCGTGCCTGTCCCGAGATTGCTTACGTTTAAAGTAACTACTCGGGATGATTTACGACCGTGTAACACAGTGACCATTTGCGTCTACTTTTCTCCGATTAGCCTGTTCCCAGTATATCCTTTCGAAGCTTTCTATAAACGACATAGAAATTCACTTTGCCAACGCTCGATCAAGATTTCTTCGACTTATCGATCGGTTTGCAAACAATCCGCCTTGTGTAGCCGAGTTGGAAACCGACGTCCCATTTACCGGAGGGTCTCGTGGAACGATCGCTTTCCAAGAGGAAGCAGAACTATCTCACGGTGGAATGATTGCGACACGGCCGTATCACGCGTGGAATTTCAGCCGCGAAGACGCTTTGGAATATTACGTAATCAGGCACACCCTTGGTAAATAGCAGCCACTTGGAATGATCGTCGAAAATACGGTCGAACGCCATGGTTCCTCGCCATTAAATCTATCGATTATCGAAAGAGAATCTGCTGCGAAAGAAACAAAAAAAATTCAACGTTGATTCCTAACTCCGCGATGTAAATCTTAAACATTGTTGCCGACCACGAGTAAACTCGTGATGCGCTTTTTTTCCGTATCAGTGCGCTGTTGGAGATGATGCAGCGCAATTATTGGTCAGCATATCTCAAGCTGTGTCTCTCGTTTATAAGACCAGTCAAGTTGAGTCCTTTGTTGTAAAAAAAAATGTCAACGATGACGGAACCTACCAATGAAGAATCTTTCAATGAATTATACGCGGATGTTTGTCTGAGTGATTGTGAATCAGATTGTAGTGACTTGGAAAATGATACTGCATCAGAAGATAGCGAATCTGATATTAGGTCTCAAAAATATCATTAAACCTACGTGCATATTACAATGCAATTAGCACTTTTTCCGATAAACTGCACCTTGCTCGATGCATATAAAATGTACTGTGCCTATCTGCCAGAAAATAAAACAAGATACAACAAATTTCTACTGCAAGTAGCTAGAGAATGGAAAACTATGGATTCCAAAGAACGCAGCATTGCACCTGATACTTCTCGAATTTCTAAAACAGCTCTTTGTTATAATGATGCACCCTTCAGGCTTTCCGGACAACTAAGAGACCACGTGTTAGATAAAATAGTCACTGGCAGAAAAACAAATCCGACTAGAGCGTGTAGAGTGCGCTGTTCAAAAGGAGAACATAGCGAAACTAGATATATTTGCTAAAGCTGTTGTGTACCATTGCACGTAGGAGATTGTTACACTGTTTATCATAGAAGAAAGAAATATTCAAAGTTGAATAATAAATCAAATTTATTAAAGTTTATTTATATTACTTTACTTGCACGAATTACGAAATAATAGCCGGTGACAATGTGTTAAAAGTTCGAATTTGATTACCGACTCGACACGATTACATCTGCATTACCTTGGGTTTACACCTGTGGCGCCACTGACAATAGATGCGCAACTTATTTCACAGCAATTTCAAAAATTCTTTGCAACGAGATTCCCTGAGGCGACTAGCACCAATTCCCAGAATCTCGAAATGTTCTGGACGAATGCCCGACCACGCGTATACTTTCGAATGAAAGGAATCATCGGATCCCCGTGAACATTACACGGCAACCGACTTTTTTCTCGCTCACGCACACCCTCCAGGTTTGAGAATCGCATTGACATCAGCATGGCTGGAACAATTGCAACGGAACCGAAATGGGAAAAGGTGGAAAAAAGGATCACCGCGTTCTTCTTTCGCCATCGTCGACGTTAATCCCTGGTTACGCGCCGATGACACGTACCGAGGAATTCCTATGGAAATCCTATGGAAAGCCATCAATCGTACGAATCGACTCCTTTCTTTGTGGCCATTGCGATGGTCATAAACCGACACGTTCTTTAACAGATCTCTTTTCTCTTGGCCCTCGAATAGACCGCCCGGTTTGAAAGTTTTGTTGCCGATCGATTCCTGTGAAAACTAGCAAAATAGTCCATCGGTTAATGGCCTGTTTTTTTTTTTTTTAGACAAGTTAAGGTTACACGAGCGATAGTTTGGCATAGAATCTTTTAGAAGATGTATTTGCTAAACGACAAGCACAGAGATACGTATGAAAGAACATCATTTATCCTGAATTATTTTTTAAATATATAAAATATTGATTTCATTTTACATATGTCCAGTTCTTATAATTTTCCTGTCCTTGCCTTACAATCTTCCTAATAAACGATCATTTTCATATTTAATCGATATTCCGATAATGAAGATTCTACCGTGTCAAATAACCTCACTTTTGCACTGTACTTTATCAGCCTTGGAATGTCAGTGTCATTCTATAGAAAACTTGCTCAATTTGAAAGTTTCGTTGCCGACCGATTCCTGTGAAAGCTAGCAAAATAGTCCATCGGGTAATAGCCTGTTTTTAGATAAGTTAAGCTTGCACCTGCAATAGTTTGGCATAGAATCATCTATTAGAGGATTTGTTTGTTAAACGACAAATACAAAGATGATCGAATTACTTTGTTTTCCTACGAAAGAACATCATTTATCTAGAATTATTTTATAAATATATATTGACATTTTATCGACCGATAGCTGATTAATCGGTTTTTTGCCGCCGACGCTTACCGACCGATAGCCTACTAATAGGTCTTTTTGTCATCGACGTTTACCGACCGATAGTCTATTAATCGGCTTTTTGTCGTCGATGCTTACTGACCGATAGCCGATTAATCGGTTTTTTCCGCCGATGCTTACCGACCGATTGCCTATTAATCGGTTTTTTGTCGCCAACAATCTTTCTCATTATTTGAGTAGTATTTATTATTTGGTACTAAAGTACCTTGCTCAGTTGCGTCAGTTGCGTTGCTTTGTAAGCTCGCACAGTTTTATACCAATTTGAAAAACTTATCGTTCGCGATGAACGAAAAAAATGGTATTGGCGAATCTAAACCGAAACGAAGCCAGCGCCAGGGAGAATCTGCGCCTGAGCTGCCGGTCGGACGTGCGTATGCTATTGAACCGCTAGCGGTCGGTAAAGTGTTAATATTGATTTCATTTTACACATCTCCATCTCTTATAATTTTCTGTCCATGCTTTACAATCTTCCTAATAAAGGGCCATTTTCATATTTAACCCTTTGCACTGCTATGTCGAGTGTGGCTCGATATCAGTTTTTAACTCAGCAGCTCCTTTGTCGAGTCCCACTCGACATTCTTTCATGTCCACCTTCTTTCAAGAAACGTGCGAAAGAAAAGCAGGATTGCATGCTGGAAATTGTTTCAAGATATATCATACACTTACAAATTAGAAAATACAACAATAGTGTGAAGAAAACTGGTATTTAAGTGAATTTCTTTCTTCTCTTATTTTCTAGTTAAAGTAAATTTTAAATAAAACACTCAAAAGTTAAAAAGAAATTGAAATAAAATTTCCAGTGCAAAAGGTTAATCGATATTCCGATAATGAAGATTCTACCGTGTCAAATAACCTCACTTTTGCAGTGTATTTTATCAGCCCTGGAATATCGGTGTCATTCTACAGAAAACATGCTAAATGCAAATTGCTTGCAATAAAAAGTTATTCCTAACCATGATCGAAGAATCTTCTGATAATATCAGGCTTTAATGACGAAGTTTCTAATACAAGAATAAACATTATTCATACACGCGCGCCATGAAATCGTGGACAGTATCTCAATCAGCGTTTCACCGTCCATGCACTTGGCTAACTGGCGAACTTTTTACACCGCGAATAACTCCAATTCATCAGTTTCCATGCAAACGACCGAATACATGGCGAAACGAATAAATAATCGCGTCGGAGGCCGATTGCTCTCGCGAGCATCGTACGTGCTACTTTTTCCTCGTTCGCGCTCCCATAATTTCCGCGGAACGAACAACAGGATTCCGTGAAACGGACGGAGAAAATTCCTGCGGTGGAAAGTGCTGGATAATAAACGTTTCCACTTTCTTGCCGGCATGTGCGCGCGCGTTACGAAGACGAAGAGGACATTTGCTAACGAGACCAGTGACCCGGCACTCGACGTTCCACTATTCGCTCTTGTCTCTCGATCTACGTTGATCTGTGGATCGACCAACCTACCTGACAGCTATGAAAAATATAATTCTGCGCAATTTTCTGCGCCATTTGTAACGAGTGTTTAGAGATTTGTTCACGTTCAGGTGGTCACGTGTTGGCGCGTTCCAGCGCCCACTATGACGTCAAATACGAGAAACGCGGAGGAAACTACTAGATTTACGTGATCCGGACGCGCGCAAATCTCTTTTCATCGTCGACACCGGTTATAATTAAGCGCACACTTGAGAAATCTACTGGAAGGCCATTGATTAAATCGATAAGCGGTGCTCTGAAAGTAAGCCACAGTGTAAATTATTACGCCATGTAATCGCGTATACGCGATCTTGCTGCTGCATATAGCCGTTTAATTGCATTTGTGTGCACTTATTTTCGTTGTGTAAGGTGTTTAATAATAAGCGTAATATCGATGTAACTACAAGATGTAAGAGTCGTAAACCGTTGCCATTGATAATAGGGCAATTCAGCTAGTCTTGTGTCTAAAGTTACAATAATTATTAATAATTACTAATGTTACAGTAATGTTACTCTGACTATCTTTTTACTTTGTAAACATTGGAATATTCGATATTGCTCGATCATTACAAATTTCATATTTCAGGGCCGGCGTAAGGCAGGTTGTTGAGCGGGTTCGCCGGAACCCGGCCCCGCGGTCTACGGAAATTACTCAATTAAAAAAACACCGATTTTGATTAACTTTTTACAGAATGACGATACCATTAACAGATGCAAGACATTTTTGTAGTAGCGATGAAAATCATGAAATGTCAGTGTCGCCATATCCTGCAAACTACTTTAGAAAAAACAAATCCAGACGCTTTCAGAGAAATGTACTTTTCAGACAAGTTAAACTACATCAATAGTTTTTTGCAAAAGTCATACAACGATCACAGATTTTCTACTTTCATTGAATCATTTGCCCCTTGAAAGCGAATTATGCATGCGAAAAAACATTGCTTGGATTTGTTTAAAAAACTGCTTATAAACAATATACAATACGTAACAGCATTTGTAAATAAATAATTGCTCGTTGTAAAATTTAAGTGTAGGATTTCAATGTGCACTCAGGGCCCGCGAAAGGTCACGCCGGCCCTGCTCTGAGAACGAGTAATTATTTATTGCGCTTGCTCGCATGAGGAAGTATCGAGGCCTTGATACGCTTCAACTTGCACGGCGAGTATCGACGTGTTACGTTATCGATGATAGACACCTCGCACAGCGAATTAGCCGCGTTTCCAGCCGAAACTATGGTAAAAGGGGGAAGGGCAGGATCTGTGTCTCTCGGTAGAAGCGACCATGTAATGTTTCGTTGCGTGGGAGTAACGGAAGCGTTGCTTAACCGTTTTAGTGGCAGCGGTTTTTAAGAATCCGTGTCGGATTGTGCCATGCAGCGGGATAGCACTCCGTTCGTTTATTCGCGAGAAATGCCGATCGACGCGATCACGCTGCTCTTTTATTTTCTTTTATGCAGGCAGCTTACGATTATTCGAAAAAAGAAAAGCAATTCTGATATGACCGGCGACGAGCTATTGGCTCGGTAACTAAGTGATCGCGGACTTTCTCATTTGGTGGTAATGAAGAAATCTGCAACCACTTAGTTGCCAACAGTTAAGTGCTCGGTACCGGGAAGCAAAAGAAGCGAACGCTTTGATGAAACGAAAACTATGGCAGCTGGCGTATGATCTGCGTTTATCGTGCATCGTTATCAGCGAGTGTGTATGAAAGACTATTGTGCGTGACCAGGATCTGACGTTAATTCAACGATCACAGGTCTCAATTAATTGAAAATGTTGTTCGGGTTAATCTGTATGAAACGAGCCAGCATTCGGCTAATTATTCCGCTCCAAGGGCGAATCATGATTCGGCGGTACCGTTCCATGAAATCGACCGTGAGAATCCTTTTAATTACCGGGTTATTACGAGCCTTGCGTATCGATACGTTCTAGAAACAATCGTTCCTCTCTACAGTTTTTACCTGTTCCTTATGTTCTTTTCTCTTATTTTCCTTGATCTTCCTTTTTTATTCTTTCTGTCCGTCTTGATTTTGCTCCTCTCTCCTCTTTCCACACAGTTCTCCTATCTCCTTTCGCGCTTTTCTGTTAATAATTAAGTGTACTAATTGGGTGGTTCGAGCCATCGCCTACCTATCTGATTAATGCCCGATACTAAAAGCGGTTCGTGCCTAAAGAGTACGTTTTATAGCTTCCTGGATTTCTTGCCGCGTTTTACGGAAGTGCCGCGTACGAACAATAAAGTACCGACATGCGTTCTACCGCTCTTTTATCCGGCCGATGTACAACACTGTATCTAACCAGGTTCGCTTTCTTTTCTTGCAGATGCGCCAACGGTTATATCGGGCAGAGATGCGAGTTTAAGGATTTAGATGGTTCCTATTTACGTAAGTATCTGCCGTTCTCGATTCTCCTGTTGTATTCCTGGTCGCCGCGACCAGATAGTTTTATTCCATTCTAGAGTCATGCTACATAGCAAGAGCCGACTATAATGCACTGGGTACAATGTAAATTCAACGAACTGGCTTGTTCAATCTGCAACGCGTGTTACAGGCAGTCCAAAGGGACAAGAAGCCGTGTCCGGTGACTAGGAAAGTGACGTTTTTGTTACAGCTTCCCGGCAACGTGTAATGTTGGAGACAGCCAGCATCGCCGGTGGTGCCACGATAGCAGTATTCCTGGTCGTTATCATTTGCATAGCGGCTTACATCCACTGTAAGCGAAAGCAAAAGGAATTACGGTCGAGGTATGGTAGTTTCCTCTTTTATCATTATGAATTTTTCTTCGTCTGTTTATTTATAGCCTTCCTTTCTTATCTTCCTCTCGCCTGGAATGATGAAAGTGATAATTAAAGCAGATTGATGACTTAGACATGGTTGATATTTAGATGAATTATAAAAAAGCTAATTCTCGTTCATTTCATAAATCTTGCATGGCGGTTGATGAATGCGCAAATTTCACATTCGACGTTATTTCTGTGCCAACAGTAATTGCGTCGACACGGTGGATGGTCCTGGCCGAGATCCGGAGTTAAGGCCGTTTAGCAACCGCAGCCGCTCCCTCATGATCTTCATGACCAAGAATCCTAATAGCTCGGTAAGTGTAGCACGCGTGCACCTGTATCGATACTCCTATGATTTCGTATCTTTTCACGCTTCACATGGCCTGAGGATATCTCCTGGCATGAATTTTTCCTCAGTGAAATTTGTCTATAATCATTTTCCATAGCTCGCATATTATTATTTGCGAATCTGTATCAGCTATACTTTGGACACGATTTCTTTACAATTGCCGTGTCGTACAAAGTATCAAAGATCTGATGCTTGGGTCGTTTAATAATATTTCCATCTATAAAAATAAATTATATATATATATATTATACTATATTATGTTTTATATAATATAATTATCTATGTATTTAATTAACAGATAAATATATATATATAAATATTTCACAGGATATATTTATATATAAATATATGTCTGAAGATTTAAAAATAATAATATTTTATATAAATTATTGTATATGTATAATTAGTTATATTTTAATTACTTTTTTCAATTTATTATTTAAATATATATATTTAGATTTATAAACATATATATTTATATATATATAGCTAGATATAATAAAACCACTTTTTCTCAATTTTTTCAGTCTTTATGAAAATTTCCCAATTTTATCAAATTTAAAAAAAAAATTTATCAAATTATTTAAATGTTTAAAAACTATAAAAATTAATAAATTATTCATAAAATTTTATAAAATTAAATAGTAATTTCCATTATATTTTTATTTAAAAAAGATGGAAATTATCAATATAATAATCATAATCAATTTTGTAATTGATTAATTAATATATATATACGTATATATAATAAGATCTATTTTTCCCATTTTTTGAACTAAATCTCCCAGTTTTTTCAATCTTTATAAAAATTTGCCAATTTTACCCAATTTCTTAAAAAAATTTATCAATTATTTAAATTTTTAAAAACTATAAAGATTAATAAATGATTAATAAAGTTATATAAAATTAAATAGTAATTTCCATTATATTTTTATTTAAAAAAGATGGAAATTATCAATATAATAATCATAATCAATTTTGTAATTGATTAATTAATATATATATACGTATATATAATAAGATCTATTTTTCCCATTTTTTGAACTAAATCTCCCAGTTTTTTCAATCTTTATAAAAATTTGCCAATTTTACCCAATTTCTTAAAAAAATTTATCAATTATTTAAATTTTTAAAAACTATAAAGATTAATAAATGATTAATAAAGTTATATAAAATTAAATAGTAATTTCCATTATATTTTTATTTAAAAAAGATGGAAATTATCAATATAATAATCATAATCAATATTATAATAAAATAATTAATATATATATACCTATATATAATAAGTTCTATTTTTCCCAATTTTTTAACTAAATTTCCCAGTTTTTTTCGATCTTTATAAAAATTTGCCAATTCTATCCAACTTTTTAAAAAAATTGATCAAATTATTTAAATTTTTAAAAACCATAAAAATTAATAATTCATTAATGAAATTTTATAAAATTAAATAGTAATTTCCATTTTTTTTACTAAAAAATATAATACTCATTTTTTACTACTTTACTAAAAATATAATACCAATATAATACTCATAATCAATATTATAATAAAATAATTAATTAATATATATATCTATATAATAAGATCTATTTTTCCCAATTTTTTAACTAAATCTCCCAGTTTTTTCAATCATTATAAAAATTTGCCAATTTTATCTAATTTTTTAAAAAAATTTGTCAATTTATTTAAATTTTTGAAAACCATAAAAATTAATAATTCATTAATGAAATTTTATAAAATTAAATAGTTTTTATAATTTTAATACTAATACTAATTAATACTAATTTTTTAGTTAAAAAAATGGAAATTACCAATACAATACTCATAATCAATATTATAATAAAATAATTAATTGATATATATATACCTATGTAATAAGATCTATTTTTCCCAATTTTTTAACTAAATTTCCCAGTTTTTTCAATCTTTATAAAAATTTGCTAATTTTTTCAAATTTTTTAAAAAAATTTATCAAATTATTAAAATTTTAAAAACTATAAAAATTAATAAATTATTCATAAAATTTTATAAAATTAAATAACCAATATAATAATCATAATCAATGTTGCAATTAATTAATTAATATATATAAATATATAATATTACACAGAGAGAATGATTGATCAGAGAAAGTAAAAACTTGTTCGCTAAGAACCTTTCGTTTGTGGTGTTCTCAGGCGGCGATAGAGCAGACGAGAATGCCCGGATGGAACTGCCCGGAAGCGGAGTCAATGAGAATGGCGTCCATCAACGAAGGCAAGCGTTCCAATCAATGATAGAGTCAGTCCGGTGCCTAATTCCACTACACGAACCAAGGCGTCCAGCGTAGAAATCACCGACACCACGTCGACGGAAGGGAATCACTTTCACCCAGCTGCTTTCTGTCTCCGTCCATGGACTACGTTCTCGCGGTGACGTATCAGAGAGGAAGGAAGAGAGAAAAAAAAAAATCCATTGTGAACGTATTGCTCGACGATCGTGTGCAACTTTGAAGAGCCTAGCTTCGTCGTAATTCAATGTTTATTTGTGCCTGAATTATCCGGTCGACGAGTTTCTTGCATCGTTAAGGATCGTTTGAAGAGGAAGATCGTTTAGCTGGAGTTCGAGCGGTGCGTTTCTTCACAATGGAAGATCTCGTTGGCAAGACAGCAAGAGACGATCTCCTCGTTGGCAGCTGAAAAAATCGATACGCGGACCGGGATCTTCGGGATCGATGATTCGCGCGAGATCTAGAAAAGCGTAGGATTAAAAAGGAAATACGTAGCCGGTAACTTTAAATAGCTGGACCTGAACAGCTGGAAGAACAAAGGACAAGAAAGTAGACAAGAAGGCAAGCTTAAAAATAAAGCCTCTGCTGAATAGGTGACTCTCTTAATAGAAAGAAAAAGTAGGGAAGAGAGAGAGAAAGAGAGAGAGAGAGAGAGAGAGAGAGAGAGGAGAAGAGAAAAGAAGCATTTAGCGCGAACGTAACGGAGAAGAAGCATAAGTAATTTGTTCCTATCGGAGATACGAGATAGTTTAGAGCAGACAATAATAACCGGAGAATAATTACATAACGTTATTAGCATCGGTTAAGATAAATGTACCAGTTAAGTTTCGACGAATAATCCTCTGCTAAGTAGAAACGTTGCTCGTCGTAGAATATATTTCCTCGATTTTAATCGAGAAAACGCGCAGAAATAAGTCCCCTCCCTCAGATTTCACTGTTTTATTTTATTCTCCTTTTCCACAAACTCCTGTTTCCTGTATGTCCGATTTCGTTCGCTTCTTTTTTCCGTATCCTCACGCAGAAATCGATCCTTCGATGCAAGTTCCATGTTCAGCACAAGTTTCTTATAAATCAATACCACTGAAACGCGGAAAATAGAACGAATTACGTATCAGAAGCGTTAGCAGATGCAAAACATTCGAAGTTCTAAATCGTTGAATGTCAGACAATTTCTCTTCTTCTACACTGGCTAATCCAGAAGGCAAGAAATTCGAAAATTCTAACCGTTTCTGTCGTTCAGTTTTCTTTCTTTCAATGTGCCGAATCGTCACGAAAGTTATGCGTCACAGCGATAATACAACGTTGATTCGCGTGACGTGCCAAAACTCGATCCTATAAGTGTGTTTCACTGTAAAATGTTCGTTCAATACAGACGTAATTATTTATTGGAAAGTTTTCGTTAAGTATATGTATTTTTTGTCCGCACAATGTCGTACGTGTAACTTCGTTTAAATTCGTAATATAATTTAAATTCGGGTGGTAGGCGTTGGCGATTATGAACGCCTTAACATGGTGAAAAAAGAAAAGAAAACGAACTCGAGGATGGTGTCTCTGTGCGGTGTTAAAACCTAGCGAAAGGAAAGTAAGCCTCGTTGTAATATTCGTTAGATCATCGATAAAAATCGATTGAATTCTCGAAGACGAATGCACGAGTCGCGGTGGCGTCGATAGCGATCGTGTCCATCTATCGATTAAGATCGAAATCGAGCGCGCTGCAGAGCAAATCTCTGTTTCTCGCCTCTCTTCTTGTAAATAGTAAATTATCCACATAGGGCCAGCCGATTCGTTTTCCGTTAAATTTATCCCAAGGAAGATTGGGCCGTTGTAGCGGACAAACTACAATTATGACGACGCTGGTCGACAGCGAGTTCCCATTTCTTTACGGTGACTATTGACAAATAAATTTATCGGGCAACGAGTCGGTTGACAGAGTCGATTGTTCGCGCGGCGTGCTCCTCTCAATATAACCAATAGAACTATCTCCATTCTTCTTTTGAATTTTGAAAGGAGTCGAGGATTCGTTTAAAACGATCGTTGTCGAACGCTACCGCGACGCCATCTTATAAAGTTCACGAAGAAGCACGATATGTTATTTGTTTGGTCGATCATAACCTAACACCCTGCAAGGATCGATCCTGTATTCGATGATGATTTGTACATTTGTAGATACTGTGCCGTGGAGTGAAGAAGCTTCCAAACGCTTTGAAGAAACAGAAAATGAAACGTCTAGTATACTTTTGTGTAACGTGTATAAATAATGTGTCGCGCGATCATGACCCGACGACGCTTTCGTTTCTTTGCTCGGCCACGAGCCTCGTGTTTTCTCTTTCGTTATGAAGTTTCAAAGCTTGAATGACTTACAAAACGTCGTAGAGATGCAGTAAGAGTTGGTAATCTTCCTGGACAACGAAAATCGGGAAGAAGAGTCGAAAGAAAGAAACGAAGGAGAAAACCGAAGAATACGCATACGTACGTAGAATTAGAAAACGAGATAGGTTCCGAGACGAGAAACGCGTGAAGCTAGGTGGCCTAATGTGTATTTCTTTTCTTTTTTTTTATTTTCTGTTACGGGCACGAATTCGAATCGTAACCGTACGCTGTAATTTATTATAAATAGTCGTAATTATCGTGAAGAAATCGTAGCGTGAATATGGAAAAACTCTAATTTAATTATTCCCCAATCTTACTTCTCTCGTAACTTTGTACTTGGTTCCTAATTTATTCTTATATTATTTTCTTTCCTCTAATTATTAATTAGCACGATTATTATTATTAACTTACTAATTTACAATCATTAGTTGCGATCATTTAATTATTCTCCTTTTATTATTATTACCGAACCACGATTAATCAATTTATTCCTAATACTACCGCGTATTATTTGGTTAACACGATATTTTTTAAGTACACGCACTTATTATTTATAAACGAACGAACGAGAGAGAGGGGGAGAGAGAGAGAGAGAAAAAAGTTATGTAAAAAAAGGAAAAGAACGAAGAGAAAAAGCACGCAATTTCCGACGCAAGTGCGCCTGTGAAAACCGCATAAGACTCGATAAAAAGCTTGCGTTCCGACATCGCACAGGCATTCGTTGAATATCGCGTAGTATCTGCGTTGTTCTTCAATCGAGAACGCCATTTTCCTACAATTCAGTCAGCCAGCACACAGGTTTCTTTCCATAAATGCAACGTAGTAAATAGAACCAGCAATCATTGAATCAACTTTTAAACACTGTTCCACCGAATGTTCGAGTAATCGCTTCTAACGATCATGGCCGGTTCCTCGTAATTCTTCTAACTGATCGTATCGCGTTTCGAAACGCATCAACGTGCATCGTGAGAGCGATTACTCGAACCCGTCGATACCGAAAAATTGAGCAACGAATGGCAGATTGTTGAACACGTAGGACCTTTGAAACGTTTCATACGGGAACGATCGCAAGAGAAAAAATTCGTAGGTAGACTTCGATTGTCAGCTTCTAAACGTTAAAATATCGTTACGACCGAGTGATTGCTTGACCACGATCTTTCTCTTTTTTTTCTTTTTAATTTACACCCTATCAGACATCGAGGGAAAACATAACTTTAATTTTTGTCGAGAGAAAAGATAAATAAACCAGAGAGAGAATCATCGTCGGGAGCAATGACTTGGGCTTGTGACTTAGCGATCGTTTAAGCGTAGACAGTGGTAGCATTTTAGTACATCAGACAGCGCCGTAGCCGTGTATCGCGAAGATCAAGACGAAGAAGAGAACCGAAGGGAGGGAAAGAATAGGAAAAAAACAGACACGAGAAGGTTACGTTGCATTCGGTCGGGAGAAAGAGAAAGAAACAGAGAGAGAAAAACAGCTAAACGACGCGAAGAAATTTCGGTGAATTTTTCTTTTGGGTCAGCGTGGTCAGAGAGGTCTTATCCTAGGAGAAAGACCCGACGGGGAATGATTTGTTCCACTGACCGGTCGATCGGAATCGACTCGAGGACACTGGAATCACGAAATTCTTAGTGGAGTGCGATCATTCCGATCGATAACTGGTCAACTCTACCGTCGGCGACCGTCGCTCAGCCCATTCGTATCCTCTTCTTTCCTTTGTTTTCTCTTGTTTGCTTCTTGCTTTTCCGTTTCCGTTTCTTCTTAATATTCTGTTTTCCTTTCTTTTTTCTTTCTGTTTTCCTTTATTTGTTTTAATTTTTAATTTCCGGACGGAAATCTTCGCGCTCAGACGACACGCGAAAGGTCTCCAAGTGAAATTTGTTTCTTTTTTTCGTGAATTGCGTGCGCTTTATGACGGCGGATGGTAGGTACCCCGTCCGACATACCAAATCCGTACTTTCTGTCGCGATATATGCTGTTCGTTGTAAATGTACCAAAGACAATGTCGATTAACTGACAAAATAAAGGTAGTTTATTTATAAAAATGTTTGAAGAAGAATGAAAAAAAAAAAAGAAAGAAAGAAAATGATAGAGAGAAAGGAGCGGTGTGCACGCGGATAACGCGTGTATGATCTGCTTCGAAAAAATCGAACGGTAAGAACAATGAACGAATATAACGAGGATAATATAGTTAACAAGAGTTATCTATCCAAAGGAAAAATGCTGCTAAAGTGTCATTTAGCTAGAAGAGATTGATCATTGGATTCGCAATGTTGCATCGAAACATTGTTATTATTTTTGTAAAGAAACTATGTACATGTATTAACTTAGCGTGCTCTGCGTATGGAAGCTTACGATATGTTGATTATTATTACTATTATTATTATTATTGCTATTATTATTTCTATTATTATTTCTATTATTATTATTATTATTATTGCTATTATTATCTATTTTTATTATTATCTATTATTATTACGATTATTATTATATTGAAAGGAATAAAAACTTGTACTCTTGTTTCCCGAAATGGTTAAGTAGTATAAATAAGCGAGAACGTACATGTTGCTGCAATCATCCTTTAAACTTTAAACACTTTCCCGCCATTCTTCACTGATTGTTCCATAGGCTGCGCCACTGTCCTTCGCGTCCCTTCCCTTACAATTAGATGATAATACGTCAGGCAAATACGTGATTATAGTTGTTTAAAAAATTCTAGAACGTTTATCCTTGTATTTAAAAGAAGGAAAAAATTGAAGAATGACATATATATATAATATAATATATATAAATAATATATATAAACATGACGTACTAAGTTTCACCAAAGAGAGCACAATATTTAAACCTTATTTTTCGAATTTGATCACGCAGTAGTTCCAGCGTAGATTTGATCACCGTGATACGTGTAATCTACGCATCGAAAAGTGTTATATTTAAAATATTTCGTGTTTGAATTAGTGTCTGTGTATATTAATTCAATGACAAATTGTTCAAAGAATCATTAAATTTGGAATAACATTAAGCAATTCGCGAACCTATAAATTTTTTGTGGAAACTGGTCTGATGTTTCAGCATCTATCTCACTTTAATGGCATCCTTATCTTCAATGCAATGCGTTTGTTTGGTGTCAGATATGCTATAGTGATACTACTGTAAATGTTAGTGAAATAGTGGAACAATAATGATAACAGTTGGAATTATTAAAAGCTGAATTTGTAACATCCATACATGACTGGCAAGATGGAATTTCAAAGAAACATTAAGGCTCTGCAGACCAAGAACCATCGACCTATATAAATACATATACCTTCTAATTATAATTTATTTATAAATATTCATTTGATCTAATTAATATTTCATCTTATTACATCTTTGCTAGTATCTCCTGTGTTTGAAAAATATGACATAATAAAAATTATATAATTGAAATTTACTCGATATGAAACAGCTTAAATCCTTTATCTGAATTTTAATTAAAATATTTTAAGGGAACTATCATTCGAACGACAAAATGTAGAAAATCAATTTTTTATTTCATTATGTCATAACAAAATGATTTTTTTTCTATTCTCTGATTCTACCCGTAGGTAAAATAAAAGGAAATAGAAAGTAAAGACATTTACATGAAACGTTAAGTGCAAACAAAGCTTCATTAATCAGTTTATGGAAGCATGTTTATTTCACGTACGAAATGGCTTCTTTGGCTTATCAAAATTATGTTATCAGTTGGAGTTCTCTTTCACGTAGTCTTCTATATGTTACATATAATATATACATACATATTACAATACTTAAAAAAACTGTCACTTAAAGTATCATACAATTTGACAAATAAAAAAGGGAATTTCAGAATTAGTTAAAAGAGTCAGTAATTTGTTACAATTTTAAACTATGCATGCAGAAATAACAAAGGAAACATTATTTCTGTTTTATAGGATCATGTAATAAAATGTCATAAAAAGAACTGATAATAATTGCCGTGATTAATAGAATAACACGATCTTTGATTAAAAGAAAAATTAAATAAATTCGAGATTAACATAACCTTAATGGAAAAACCTAAATATGTTTAAGAATAATGGAAAAATTCAGAGTTTTGAATAATTTAAATTATCTTACAATAAATATCACATAATTTCCCGATTTGTTCATATTAACCCCTTAACCTACAACTACGGGCATAGTCCGTAGTACGATGATCGGGCCAAATATAATATATAATAGTATATATAATAATATATACTATTGTATATGTATAATAATAATATATAATAAAATTCTCGAACGTAAATCGTAGGTTAAGAGGTTAAAAAAACTATGCATTACGTTTTATTTTCTTCCAAAGTAACGAACAGTTGTCTGTTTTTTCTTAAATAAGCCCTCCAAAAATCTGGGTCACGCGTATTAAATAATCCACTGATCTGTTCCATGGTTCGATCATGCAATGGCATAGATGGAGTCCACTTTAACGTATTCTGTATCACTTCATCAAATTTATGCCTCGATAAACTCAACAATGCCGAGAAAACTCCTTCTTTTTGCTCATCTGATCCTAGTTAAAAATATTAATTGTTTGTTAATAACTAAATTTCCTATTACATTTAAAACACGAATAAAATAAATAACAACAGTATACCTTTATCGGAATTGATTAAATCGCACAGTTGTTCTACAATTTGACCAACCAAATTATCTTTATCTTCTATTGGGAATACACGCATCAAATTACCTGCATTTACGAGTATGTAGTGGAAGTTATAATTTAAATATTTAAATGGAGTTTATTAAATTTTAAATTTACCTAATAAAGAAAACGCTCGATATGTGCTCGGAAATTTCTCGTTAATTATCATAGATAACAGTGCACCCTTAATAATGTTCGTGTGCGTCCATTTAGTTCCTTCTCTTTTTGCAAGAAGTATAATAGCGATTTCTGCTTCACTATCATTTCTTTCTACAAATTGATCAAATTATATTTAGGCAATAAACCAAAAGTATTATAATTGTTTCTTACCTTGAAGTGCAGTCAAAAGTTCTTTGAGCAAATCTTTCGATAATGTTCCCATTGGATATTTGTAGAACATTGACACTAAATTTTTTAAGGCATAAAGTTTAGGATAGTCCATAGCTTGCTGCGCCATAATTAAATGTGCCATACATTTTGGCAATAACCCTGTATATATAATAAATAGTTACAATAACGAAATAAAAATTTGATTTTGAAATGATTTAAAAAATTACACATACTATTAGTACTTGTTTCGTTATTTGGAAATACTTCTGGCCAAGAAGTGAGTACTGTATATAAAATAAGTATTGCATGAACTCCCAAACAATACAAAGCATCGCAACAAAATATCCTCACTTTTTCTCGATCCTTCTTAATTCGTGCTAAAACCGTATACATTCTAGCAAGAGATTCTATTGCATATCTCTAAACATAAAATTAATTAATCGTTAATTGCATTCGTTAATTTTGCATTACGTAAGAAAATAGTAGGGAGAAGCCAAACCTCTATTCCTTGATTAAGTCTAAAAAGTTTGTACTCTATGCCAACTTGAACAAATTGAAATACAGTGGGCATTGATTTTTCTAGGTCAATTAATAATGCTGATATTCTTTGTTGTGCTTTCGTCATTAATGGTGCAGGCGGTGTATAACTATTATCTAAATTTCTGTTATGTTCCTGTTCTGTGCTTAAGAATTCTATAATTCCTCTAAAATCATATGGTATATGTTAGTAATTAGTCATGTTAAAAATTAATTACAAATATGATGTGATACTAACTTTGCTATAATACGAGAACTACAGGTAAATTTCAGTTTTTCAATCACATCCCAATGTATGGAATTCTGCCAATCATTATCTATCAGCCTTTGCAATTGTTTACTCACGAATTCATCTAAAATAAATAAAGCATATTTTAGATAATCCCATGTTTTAAAAAATCTGTTAGCAGAAATTATCTTACCTGCCATTAGACCGATATGTAAAAATTTTTTATTACACATTTTCTTATTCTTCTTAGATGGATTATTATTAATATGTTTTTGCAATATTTTAAGTAGACAGTATGATTTTAGTTCGTGTTCTATAGCAGAATCTTCCTGTGTAATACAAACATTCGTGCGTGTTATTTCTTTAGTACATAAATTCCTTTCACTTATATCGTTTATCTCTGAAGTATCAGTGGAAGACTTGTCATTGAAATTTAGTAATTCTTGTTTGCTCGTACTATTTGTTTTGTTGATTTCTCTTACATCTAGAGAATTAATTTCACATACATGTTTCAAATGCTCGTCATTCTTATTCGAATCAGTCTTTTTCTCATTCAATTTGATTACCCCTTCCAAAGAATTAGTATTGAGTGTAGTATCAAATAGACTATACCTACTATTTGTTTTGAATGTTATGTTTGTATCTTGTCCGCATGTCTTGTTTCTTACATTACTTGATAAATTTTTAATATCGGTAATTGGTATTTCGTGAACAGCATCTCCTACAATATTTTCAGTACTGCTAGAATGTACCTTTGAAGAAATTAATTGAGTTTCTTGTATATTATTACCACAAATTTTTTGCAACTCATTATTATCTCCTTTCAATTCATTTAAATCAGTACAGTTGGCATTTTCTAAATCTTTTATTAATTGTTTTTTGAACTCTGGAACATTGTTTAATTTCTTTTGTTTAATCATTGTGTTCTTAGGTACGTGTGCAATACGAGATTTCTTTTTAGGTATATAATCATCCTTTTTGACTACTTGAGAATTATTGTCTAAACCTTCTTGTTTTTTAGATATATTACCATTTTCATGCTCATAATTCTGCATATCTTGATGTTCCAACACATTTTGACATGTTTTCATGATTTTACTATTCTTCTTTAAATTTTTTATTTTTCCCAGCAACTTTGGTCGAATAACGGATTTTTTAATTTCGCTTTCACTTATCTTCCTTTTCCTATCAGATTGTGGCGTTTCTGACATGTCTTTATTTAAAGTATTAGTTTTTTCAATTGATTTATCCAATTTTACTAAATGTGATACGTGTACTACTTTTATCGGGGATTCGTTTACCGGTTTAATATGCTCAATAGAACATGATTCATTTTCCATAGAAGATTTTATTTCTATTGCGCTTTTATGCTCTGTTAGTGCCGAATATATGTCCGTATTTGCTTCAGATCGGATCAGTTTTCCAGATTCAATAGAATCCGATAATATTCCTGAATCGGTTTCACCTCCTACTGACTTACTACATTCAACCAAATTTCGTACTATTTTTGCTTCAGCTTCATTTCTATTTGTATGATCAGAATTCAAAGACAAGCTAGATCTTCTTATACGTAATACGCTTTTAGATTCTACATTAATATTTGTTTTACTGTCACCAGTTAACTCTTCTATGTCTTCTGTACTATGTAACAAATTATCAGATTTTCTGAGAAATGAATTTCGATACTTGCTCTTCTTAAGCTTTTTCTTAAGAGAAGTTCGTTCAGTTTTGTTAACAACTGATTCAATTTTCCAAAAACCAGTATACACATTTTGTAGTCTTTTGCATTTTAATCGAGATAATTTCCTCAATGTTTTATGCCCATTAAATTTTTTTGTTTCTTTTCTTCTGTAAGCGTCCATCAGTTTTCTCAATTCATTGAAATTAAATCGCGTAGAGTTATTTATATCGTACATACTACAAGCATTTAGATGATGATGCTGACAACAGCTATTGTTTTGATTTAAGCTCTTTTTATTTAATTTCTCTTTCATTTTCATTTTCATTTCCAACATATCGATTCTTTTTTGTAACGACAAAATAATCGATAACGTAGGCGTTACCATATTCTCGCAATGATTATTCTGATTAGTTGTATTCGAATCTGTCCTTGATAACGGATTAAGTGGCGTCGATCCGATATAGTATGTACTTGGATCTATTAAATTCGATGTCGGAGGAAAAGTATTACAATAATCCGAGCGACCTAACGAAATCGTATGGGGCGTTAACAGACTTGTTGGAATAAACTCTACACGATTGTTCTGATTCGGTAAATGCTGCGAAGAAGTGTCTGATAATGTTAACAAAGTTTCAGTCTTACACCGTTGTCCATCCCTTATATCTAAAAATATATGAAATTATTAAAATATATTTCATATAAACGAATACTGTAAATATTTCAATGTGTACCTATTGATGATTGTAATGGAGATGGAGATCTTTTTGGTGGAGATGGAAATCTTTTTGGTGGAGATGGAAATCTTTTTGGTGGAGATGGAAATCTTTTTGGTGGAGATGGAAATCTTTTTGGTGGAGATGGAAATCTTTTTGGTGGAGATGGAAATCTTTATGGAGATCTTTTTGGTGGAGATGGAGGGAGATGGAAATCTTTTTGGTGGAGATGGAAATCTTTTTGGTGGAGATGGAAATCTTTTTGGTGGAGATGGAAATCTTTTTGGTGGAGATGGAAATCTTTTTGGTGGAGATGGAAATCTTTTTGGTGGAGATGGAAATCTTTTTGGTGGAGATGGAAATCTTTTTGGTGGAGATGGAAATCTTTTTGGTGGAGATGGAAATCTTTTTGGTGGAGATTGAATCTTTTCAACAAGTTTTGGACATGAATTGCTCATAATTGTGCATATTTTCTCAAGGGGAGGTGGATCTAATAGAACACTGCAGTTGTCACAAAATATAGGATATAAGACATCCTTGACATTATAAAAATCGTCGGTTAATACGCTTTTATCTGTGACTTCCGGATTTTGCATTATTGTCTTTCTAGTCGATGTATTAGTTCCAACATCCTGTAACTTTGCTTCTATAAAATAAATTAGATATAAAATATTGAATTATTATTAAAAAATACTTTTAAATCAATTATATTAATTCTTCAATTAAATTAACTTACTATCTTCATTTTTTACAGAAATTTTCTTTTCCATCTTTTTCATTTTTGTATCATAGGATTTTTTTACATTTTTTAACTCCTGTTCCAATTCCTTGATTCTTACTGCAAGAGATAATCAAATTACTAAGCTACATAGAAAATTTTAATCCACTTTATAAAATTACCTTGAAGTGAGGATTTTTCTAAATCATATTGTATTATCTTGTGATTTTGATCTTCTTCTGTGTCCTTTATTTTACATATTAATTGTTGTATATGCTGCTGATCAGCTGCTGCCTTGATATTAGCTTCATTAACTTGTGTAGTCAGAGTTTCAATGCTTTTTTTATATTCTGTATTTTGCTAAGAATTATATATTAATAATACATGACTAAGAGGAAGAAAGGTAATATTTTGCAGGATAATTTACATATATTCTTTTACTTACAAGTTCCAATTTAATAATTTTTGCTAAAGTAGAATTATAATTATATGTTGTTTCCTTTATAGCTTTACTTGCTGTATCTAGCTCTTGCTTTAATCGTTCACATTTTTTTGTTTTATCATTATATTTTTTAATTAATTCACTAAAAATAAGCATTTCGTTAATATTAATTAAAAATTATGACAGATGCAAATATAAAAATACATGATTAATATGTTAATTTGCTTACTGAGTTCCAGCAATTTTCTTTTTTAACAATAAATAGGACTGCGTTAATTTGTCTAGATTGGAAATATCCTCCTTAAATGAAATAAATAACAATCGACAATTAAAATTATTAAGAATCAGAATTTTAAAATGGCATAACAATAACTATAAATTTTATTAGTAAATATTTCATATTAAACTCGTATTAAAGTGATGCATTTCATTTGACTAGAGTCTTAGATTAAGGTTGATTAGAATTCAGATTAAATTTTTATTAACTAATAACATAGAATTAAACGGTATTATAACCTCAAACTAACCTAAATAGTCGATACTATTAAATTCGATTTAAAGTAAAAACTTCTGATAATAAAATACTCACTTGAGCGGTTTCATCTGTTTTCAAATCCGAAAGATTATCGTCCATGGTAATTAAAATGACAATTAATACTATTTGTTTTAAAATTATTTGTATTTTTGAATGCCGATCAAGAAACACGTTTATGCGGCGTTCAGTTTGATGTTTACAATTCCGGCTAGGGACCCTAATATTTATGATAAAAATTATGTTAAAATTTCTATATAACGACATTATATACAGGTGCGTAAAAGATTTTTATACGTACTCTATATATGTATATATATATATATATATATATATAAATTAATTATATTAATAAGTATTCTTTTAAAAGTATTACCTTTAACTGTTTTTGTATGCACCGCAGTTTTGTATGTTTTTATAATAGTAAACTTTTAATAGTATTACATTATATCAGGCATACATTTTAATATAGATACATACATATTTCCTTTTTCAAGATACAATATGATAATTATGATTTTTCAATACACTCGAAATATGCCGCGCGCTTTCTTGTTAAATTCTGCGCATCGCCTCACTCCGTTCATTTACGATGCCGTTCTTTTCTCTCCTTCCATATTCTACTAATTAGTACACTACATAGAATTAATTAATTCGTATGGTGAATTGAGTCAGTGTGATTTGTTATTGAAATTAATAAACATTATTGATGGTCCTGTATACATGTAGCATTCCTAGTTCAATTTCCCTTAGTAAGGAAAGCTTTATGTCAAAAATTCTACTTCGATATAGAATTGATAAAGAAATAGAATTAAACTAATCTAAAGTTTATAGTTTTTATATAAAACAGGTTTGGAGCTCGGTACAAGCGAAATAAAAGTATGTACATATGTATTTCCTAGAAATGGTGGGAGCAGCGATGGCCAATTAACAAGGGAATAATCTACGTTGTACATTGTATGCATACGTATAGAGTGGTTCCCTACTCTATAATACATTGTTCATGCGTGATAGAAAATAGGATGACAGACTGACCGTTTGTGTATACTAAACATTTACAAGAATATTTTGGGTAAACTGCAAAATTTTTGTATTAATTTGGAAGTAACAGTGTTGTAAACTATTAATTTAAAGATGGACATAAAATATCTTTCTAGCACCTTTTATTCAACAACGGTCATATATATTATATCTTGTTACTCCAGTAAATAAATATAAACTTATTTTCCAATTGTTTAGGTAAATGTTTGGTGCTAAAGTAGTAATACACAAATGTAAACGATTTATACAAATATATGAATTTCCATACGATTTATATATGAAGAAAACCATTTATTACTCAGATTTTACAGTTTTATTAATTAATCATGGGAAGCAAAGGAATAGAAATGGATCAAATTCTAGCCCAGAGGCTTCTCGTTGAAGGTGCTACATTAGTTATGCTGGATGTACCTGTTGGCACAGAGTTTGGCATTGATTTAAAATCCTGGAATACATTAGATAGTTTTAAAGGGATTAAAATGATCCCACCAGGATTTCATTATGTACATTATAGGTAAATTTGTTGTAGTTATGTTTTCCTTATTTATAACATAATATTTATATATTTATATTCTTTAAGTGCTGTAGATGAATTTGGAGAAGCAACACCTAAAGTTGGCTTTTTTCATATATTTAAAAAGTCTGAATTTCTAGTGAAACGTTGGGACGCAAAAGAAGAAGATTTAAGTTCAGAAAGTATGATAGCACTTAATGTACTAAAAAATTGTTAAAAGACTTCATTATTAATAAAATCTAATTTTTCATACAAAGCTATAGAAGAAGAAACGGTTGAAAGGTACAAGAGCAATTTGAAAGATTTAGATAGATTTCTAGGATGTTACCCTTATGATATATGGAAACAATGGAAGGAATTAACAAATCATATTACCCCTCCTCTTGTTGAACGTTGTTCACCCATATGTGGGTATGTTAATAAATTTTATAAATTATTAATTGTCTTTGCTATATTTATTCTTTTATTAACAAATTTCTGTATTTCAGTTTTGTAAGATCAGCATTAGAATTAGAATATTGCACTGATGCTGCAAGACCAAGAGGTGGAGAATCAAGTTCGAAAAGAAGAAGGAGGAGTGGAATTACCATAGAAGAGAAGGAAGATGAGCTTCTTCCTGATATGAAACCTAAGCCTGGAACAGAACTTCGACTTTCAAAAATACCTTGTAAGCAATATCCAGATGGAGCATCGCCAACTGAAATTACAAAGTACTCTTTGGATACGAGTTATGCATTGGATACTGTTCTTAAGAAATTAACACTGTAAGTAATTAGTTAAATATTTGTTCCAAAATTTTATAACCTACGATTAATATCTTTACAGTCCCATAGAGATAATTGGTGAAATGGAGTTGGCATTTGTCTGTTTTCTTGTTGGACAAAGTTTTGATGCCTTTGAACATTGGAAGAAACTTGTATCTCTTATTTGTGGAGCCGATTGTGCGATATCGCAACGTCGCGCAATTTACATTGAATTTATGAAAGCATTAGAAGTTCAATTGATGCACGTACCCGAAGACATACTTTGTGACATTGTAGCCAATAATAATTTTGTTTATCATAATTTACGCAAATTGTTCGCAAATATTGAAATGAATTCTGAATTAGATGGACGTTTAAAATCTTATACAACGAGATTTAGCGAACGATTGTCTATAAAATTTTTGTGGGATTTTTCTAATTTGCAGGAAGAAACTGAAGATGAAGCGCCGGTTGTTGTTTCGTTAGAATAGTTGTAAAATGTATAATATAAAACGTATATTCTTACTTCTTGTATATATAGGTAACGTTTATATATATAAATAAGGATTGATAAACACAAATTTTCCTATATTTTAAAATAACAACCAATTTTATTGTGAAGTTAAGTACATCTTACAGAGTATTAGGTTAAAATATTTCAATTCGCCTCGGGTATATTAAGGAAATAATGAATACTTCTTCAAGTATTTAATGAATATCCAGCCTGGCTGAAAAGTAAATTGAAGACATTACATCGCGTTTGATATCATTATATTATATTATATAATACTATATATAAAAACTTTCAGTAGGAAATATATTGCCAGTTATGACATAACCGATTGATATTTAATTAATATGTACCGGATATGATGTTTGGGTGATGTATTCGCACTGGTCAGTTATTTGGTTCCGGTTCTGGATCAGCTTCGCGACGAAGGCGCTGAGGAGAGTTAAAATCAAGTTTAATCGAACAACCCTACTATCGACAGTTATCATATAAACGATTGATATCTAATTAATATTTACCGGATGTGGTGGACGTGGTGGTGGAATGTACACTGGTCGGTTGCCTGGTTCCGGTTCTGGATCAGCTTCACGACGAAGGCGCTGAGGTAAGTTAAAATCAAATTTAATCAAACAACCCTACTATCGACAGTTATCATATAAACGATTGATATCTAATTAATATTTACCGGATGTGGTGGACGTGGTGGTGGAATGTACACTGGTCGGTTGCCTGGTTCCGGTTCTGGATCAGCTTCACGACGAAGGCGCTGAGGAGAGTTAAAATCAAGTTTAATCGAACAACCCTACTATCGACAGTTATCATATAAACGATTGATATCTAATTAATATTTACCGGATGTGGTGGACGTGGTGGTGGAATGTACACTGGTCGGTTGCCTGGTTCCGGTTCTGGATCAGCTTCACGACGAAGGCGCTGAGGAGAGTTAAAATCAAGTTTAATCAAACAACCCTACTATCGACAGTTATCACATAAACGATTGATATCTAATTAATATTTACCGGATGTGGTGGACGTGGTGGTGGAATGTACACTGGTCGGTTGCCTGGTTCCGGTTCTGGATCAGCTTCACGACGAAGGCGCTGAGGAGAGTTAAAATCAAGTTTAATCGAACAACCCTACTATCGACAGTTATCATATAAACGATTGATATCTAATTAATATTTACCGGATGTGGTGGACGTGGTGGTGGAATGTACACTGGTCGGTTGCCTGGTTCCGGTTCTGGATCAGCTTCACGACGAAGGCGCTGAGGAGAGTTAAAATCAAGTTTAATCGAACAACCCTACTATCGACAGTTATCATATAAACGATTGATATCTAATTAATATTTACCGGATGTGGTGGACGTGGTGGTGGAATGTACACTGGTCGGTTGCCTGGTTCCGGTTCTGGATCAGCTTCACGACGAAGGCGCTGAGGAGAGTTAAAATCAAGTTTAATCGAACAACCCTACTATCGACAGTTATCATATAAACGATTGATATCTAATTAATATTTACCGGATGTGGTGGACGTGGTGGTGGAATGTACACTGGTCGGTTGCCTGGCTCCGGTTCTGGATCAGCTTCACGAGGAAGGCGCTAGATAAAAATTACCAAAAAATTTAGTATAGAACACTGTCATTGTGCATCAATATTTAAATATTGATATATAAATACTTACAGGATTAATTGGTGGGAGACTTATAGGTCGGGGTGGTCGATTACTTGGTTCTGGTTCTGGTCCAGCTTCCCGACGACGACGGAGCTGTGGTAACAAAAACGATTTAATATTGGTTCTCATACTTGACTCAATTATTTTTTTATCATATAATTTTTAGCTTAAGTATATCTGCTCTAATTAACTATGGACATATTCTCTAATGTTACCTCAGTTTTACGTGTATTTGGGATTGTGGTGGTAGATGCGGCTACCACAAAGGTAATAGCCAGAATGGCGAAGATAAAGTTCTTCATGATTTTCTATATGAAAATAATGTAATTTAGTTGCGTGTACATGTTTGAATATTTTTAGAAATATTTTTTAATAAAATAATTACTGGTATATATATGGCGTGTATCTTACCTGATTAACCGGTGGTCAGACCTCCGAATGAGAAGTCACTGATATCGAATGTCCTGAGCTGCACCGTATTTATACAAACTGTTAGACGTATCAGTCTTTGTCTGTGTGAAAGTTCATAGTACTTTGGGAATCACCGACTGCGCACAACACACGCATGATAACGAGAATCTCTTTTTATTCTAGTTTTCCTTTAGTCATGTTGTTGTTTCAACAAAGTTATGAATATTTTTTCCATTCTTTCTTATTCTTTCACAACCTATTTACTGTCACTATATAAGTCAAGTTTATAGTCCAATCATGTTTTTCCTTTAGATTAAAACAGTAGCACATATTTATATTTACTACATTTTAGGTATTTATATTGGCTATTACAACATATTATCACAGATTATTTAGCATTTTTTGAAAAGAATGTCTTTACTACATAAAATTGTTTAAATCATTGTATCATATCATGAGTCGAAGTGCACTGTTTGGTTAAGGCGCACCAAATGTGTTCTTATTCATTTGTGAAAGTACACATGTATACATACAGCCTAGTGCAAGAGGGAATTACCGCGAATGATAATAAGAATAAATGTAAGTTTCTTTTCCTTGTGTTCTTGGAAAATCCATTTTACTTTTACAAATGATTTATTTTTTCTAATCTGTTAGAATTATTTATGTTATTCGTTCTGGGATTTTCTAGTATTTTAAATTTTAAATTTCCTCAGGGCTTAAACATTTTTATAAATTACAACCAAAATAATATTTTGATAAGTCAAATTTATGTGACAGGAACCTCTACTGATCTTGTGAATTGTTTAATTCCCTCTTGCTTTCTGTAAAAAAAATGTTTCCGCCCGGGATCGAACCGGGGACCTTCCGCGTGTTAGGCGGATGTGATAACCACTACACCACGGAAACAGATGGAAGGTGTTTTTTATAATTTTAATTTATTGATAATTTTTACAACGTATTTTTTAATTAATCTTTATGCATGTATATATGAAACATTCTCTACTAAAACACATATCAAATATATCTATATCTATAATTTCACTCATTCTCAGCAAAGGAGTAGGTTAAGAGGTATAAAAATATGTAGCCGTAAATTATTTCCGAACAAAGTTTCTATTTTATACAAATTATAATAATTACAAAACAATTCAGCGAGTTTAAGGTACTTCCTTATTTAGGAGACTGTACGTTAGCCTCAAGGGCTCGTTTCTCTTCTGATAATAATGAAACCTTTTCTTCATACTTTTCTCGTAAATCTCGGAAAAGACAAAGCTGCGTCTCGTATTCTTTTTTCAAATCTGCATTTAACTTGACCGCGGCATCCATTTTGTTAATCATCGTATTATATCGTTCACGTTCCTCAGAAATTCGGACTTCCATGTCATCAACCTCTGCCTATAACAATGGCAATAAATATTCACTTCATTTTCTTTGTCGTTTCTAAAAATATAATTCTTTAAATAATTTAACCAAATTGTCTTAACCCCTTAACCTATAACTATGGGCATAGCTCGTAGTAGATGACCGGACTAAACGTAAATCGGCTAAAAATTCTCGAACGTAAATCGTAGGTTAAGGGGGGGGGGTAAGGTTAATTCGTACAAAAATAACGCATGTTTTCGTGAATTATTTGTGACGACACAGTTAAAATCTCTTTATTAAAACCAATAGTACATTAAAATATGACATTCGAAGAATATTGTATAAAATTTTCACGGAGAAATATTAAAAAATACGGCAATGGCAGCAATTATTCGGACGTGTCTCGGAAAAAAGTAGAATTGCTCATAACTTGGTGCTGGATCATCTGAAATCAAAAAATTAAAGTTCATTCGTTAGGTAACAGTCTTCCCCAGGCAACGCTGGGAGGGTTTTTCGAAATTTCAATTTTTCACTTTTTTGGAACACTTTGAAGAGAAAATTAGCCGCAAATTTTCGCAAAATCGATTAATTTTCCCTTCAAAGTGTTCCAAAAAAGTGAAAAATTGAAATTTCGGAAAACCCTCCCAGCGTTACCTGGGGAAAACTGTTACCTAACGAATGAATTTCAATTTTTTTATTTCAGATGATTGAGCACCAAGTTATCAGGGGCACCGCGATTCTACCTAGCCGCAAATTTTCGCAAAATCGGCTGATTTTCTCTTCAAAGTGTTCCAAAAAAGTGAAAAATTGAAATTTCGAAAAACCCTCCCAGCGTTGCCTGGGGAAGACTGTTACCTAACGAATGAACTTTGACTTTTTGATTTCAGATGATCCAAAACCAAGTTATCAGGGGCACTGCGATTCTACCTTTTTTCCGAGAATAATTGCTGCCATTGCCGTATTTTTTAATATTTCTCCGTGAAAATTTTATACAATATTCTTCGAATGTCATACTTTAATGTACTATTGGTTTTAATAAAGAGATTTTAACTGTGTCGTCACAAATAATTCACAAAAACATGCGTTATTTTTGTACGAATTAACCTTACCCCCCCCCCTTAACCTACGATTTACGTTCGAGAATTTTTAGCCGATTTACGTTTAGTCCGGTCATCTACTACGAGCTATCCCCCCCCCCCCCCTTAAGGGGTTAAATGTGATAATCATTCGATTGACAGACCTTATGATGATACTGATCATATTTTACTGATTACACACTACTTATTATATTTTACCTGCAAATGCTTTACTTCCATATTACGAATTTGCAACAGACTTCTGGTGAGAGACTCTACTTCCTTCAGTGAAGCCACCTGATTATTCAATGCGCTAATTTGCTTCTCCTGATTAGACACGGTACGAATTCGATCTTCCAATTGCAGCGAAGTCTGAATAAGTTTGCCCTTTAACTGATCCACCATTCGACGAAGCATGACCTCGTTACCTTCACCCTTCAGCAGGGCATCGTACGTCGCCTGCAACTCCGTCAGTTTTTTTTCCGCGCTTTCCAACTTCTTTTGATAAGAGTCTCGTTCGTTAGCCGCTTTCTGTACATAGAAATGAATTTATCATAGCTTTATTATCGTTCATAGAAATTAAGATTTCATAAAACTTATTACCTATTATTAATCTTTTCTGTTTTTGTATATCAAATTTTACCTGCACTTCTTCTTTTAATTTCGATATTAAAAGTTCGTGTTCAGTTACATTGTTATCGTCTCCTATCACTGATTTATCGTTTTCCGGTTTAATCGGATCGACCATGCCAGTAAGTGCAATTTGCTCTTCTGGTTTCTCAACATCAGCATTTCCGTCTTGTTTTGTCACGGAAAAAATATCTCCGGCGCCTATGGCCGTTTCTTGCTGAATTTCCGGAATATTTGGCTACAAAAAGAATTCACAATTTTACGAAACTAACACTTGATTATTTTAAGTTCCATTATTATCAGTATGTAGATATATTTAACTCACAGATGACACATTTTGCTTTGCTTCAGATGTTGTGCTGTCCTCTACTTTTTTTTCTAGAGACTTATTCACAGTTTCACAGATAATTTTCATATCTTCAATGCTAGCCGCGTTTACTTCCTTTGCGGACATCTCTATTGTTTGATCTTCTATGCCATGCGAAATCTTACAGTCAATATCTTGCATGGGTGCATTTTGATTTTCTACCGTGGCGACTGATGTATCTTCTACATTGTCTTGTTGACCTGACTTTGCCATTTCAGATAGACAAGAGTCTGGATCAGTGGTTGATTTAAGAGTCTCGTTGTCTGACATTTTTATCTGCAAGAAACGTCACTTTTATATGTTGTACACGAAGCATACGAAACAGAGGAAAAGCGAATTTGTTTCTGATGTATTTTCACTGTGTTCATTATTATCTAACTGGTCAAATAATTTTTATCGTTAGGCACGAAATAATTTCTTATTCTTGTAGTATTATAGTCTATTGACTGTTTGGGTGACGATCGAAATTCTAAAATGTAGCGTATAATCAGTTTTGGTTAAATTTAGTTCTAGTATATGAGTCGTAGCTTTGGATCGTCAGTTATGTTATAAGATCGATTTTATTAATTACCGGGAACTTAAAATACAATGGAATACGTGTTAAAAAATGATGTTTTCCCTTTAAATACGAAACTTCTTGTCACACAAAAGCGACTGGATATCCAGGACTAATGAAAAGTATGATGTATTTTTGGACATTGTCTGCTAGTTCTATTTTAAACTATCGTAAACGTGTGCCAGTCTAGCATTCAACAAACTGCTAATCGTATTGTATTTAAAGCAAGTATATGACATAAAACTTGTCATTGATTATTCGTTCGAATTATAAGGATGTTCTGGATTGTACGATTATTTATGGGAACAAAATATATCTATACAAGAAGATATTGCTATAATAGTTTCATTACGAAATATCATGCACTGTGAGGCAGAATTAATGCATTATTTGTACAAATGAGATCAAACGTAATTATGAAAAGTGTAAACGAAAAATAATTTAACGAAATGATAAAATATATCTCAATTGTTTTCGAAAAGTCATTTATTACACTAAATTGATAGACATCTCGTTATTCTTACATAATCAAAAAAAAAGCTTTTATTTGTATGAAGGTTCATTAACATAGTTACATTCACCACAGTGTCGCGCTCGAGGTATCTTCTTCCTCGGCATTCTAATTATTTGAAACAAATTTTATGGTAAATATGTAAAAAGATTTTATTTTTATGATAAGACTAAGATTTTTTATAAATGAACTGCAATCTTTCGTATTGTTATGTACATGTTAATCGGGTGTGCACGAGATCTAGTCCCATAACCTCACTTATACCATATATTACTTTTCTCACGTTTCTTCATCTCTCCTATTTAAATACATATAGATATATTGCTTTTACGTAACATGTTTCTATAGGAAAATTGAATGTAAGAAGAATGCTCCAGAAACATTACTGTCAGTATAAAATTCAAAAGAACTAGCAGTAAAGGTTATTTTTAGTGAGTCTTTTTCATACATTTTACATGAAATCAAAAACACATTAAACATTTATACATGATTGTTACGATGTATTAAGTACTTGCCTTTTTTCTTTTTTCCTTGATAACAATGATCATACATACATGCATCATTTATTTAATAATGTATAAAATGTGGTAAAACCGTAATAATATGATAGTTATTATCATTATTTGCAACTGTCAGTACAAAAAAAATATGTGTATTAAATAAATAAATAAATCTTCTTACAGAATATCAACTAAGGAATGGAAGAATACGCAAGAGAACCATGCCCATGGCGTATAATAGATGACTGTGGTGGTGCCTTTACCATGGGTGCTATTGGTGGTGCAGTATTTCAAAGTATTAAAGGATTTCGTAATGCACCCAGTGGAATAAACAAAAGAGTCCTAGGAAGCCTTATAGCTATTAAGCAAAAGTCTCCTATTATTGCTGGAAATTTTGCATTATGGGGTGGTATGTTTTCTACAATAGATTGTACTTTGGTTCATCTTAGGAAGAAAGAAGACCCATGGAACTCTATTATCAGTGGAGCAGCTACTGGTGGAATATTAGCAGCAAGAAATGGTTTACCAGCCATGGCTGGTAGTGCAATTATTGGAGGAGTGTTATTGGCTTTAATAGAAGGTGTAGGAATATTTATTACCCGTTTATCTGCGGAACAATTCAAACCTCCATCATTCACTGAAGATCCAAGCCATCTGAGACAAAGTCATCCATCGTAAAACATATAAATATCTAGATATATTTTAAATTACACTCAACTAATTAAGTACAAATGTTTCATATTCTTTGAAACAATAGTAGTTGACAGCTATCATATTGCCAGTACATCAAATTTGTATAGACAATTCAGTCTTTTGATTTAAGAAATATAATAATAGTTTGGTTTCTATTTAATTCTGATTTTGTACTTTTATTGAATTGTTAATAAGATAAAGCACTTAACATAAATATAATAGAAATTTATTAATGAGAAACATATTTATAAAATAAATTGAATTACTATTTATTTTCATTATTTGAATTTATTTTCAGATTAAATTATCATTATATTTTAATGTAACATAGTCTTCTTAAGTTAAAATCTTATTCTAATCATCTTCATCTTCCATTTCTTCCTCGTAATACCTGGAAGTTGAGGGCACAGCCAAGTCTAATGATTTGCTTGTAGAATCTTGTTGATTATCATTTGTTGACTGATACTTGGTACTTTGTGGAGGAGACTTGGTTTTTGTACCTTTTAATGATTTGTTCACTAATCCCAATAAATGAAGTTGCTCCACCTAAACATCTTGTCATATGAAATGTTTTTCAATATTAAAACAGATAAAAAAGGGATTGTAAATATTATATTTACCTGCAGACTACTTATTTGATTATCAATTTTTGTTAATATATTTTGAAGAAGTTCTTTTTCTTGTGTTAATTCTCTTTGAAAAACGAGTAAATCGCTGGTACTTATTTTTATATTGCTAAAATCATCGATAGTCGCCATTTTTGGTAGTGTTATTTAATTATTTTTATTTTTAACGAAATCAATAATAAAATGCAAACTTTATAGTAACAAGATACGCTAAAGTATCAAGTTCACATAATTTTAAAAATTCATTCTATGTAACTAATAACCTGTAACATAATGTTTGAAGGTTATGTATGAATGTATGAATGTATGAAGGTTTTCATAATGGGTTTCAATGTTACCAACTTGACGTGTGAGTAAATGCTGGCTATTGTATACTGTCTGTGAGTATTTTGAATTCAGTATATGCGTTCATAAAATTGGTCAGATAATGTTTTAAATTTGTTGAAAATATGGAAAAAAGGTAACCGTGCATGGAGGAATTGTTAAGAAAATATAGTGCGTGCTAAAAACTTTAATTTGGTTCCTGACAGAGAATAAGTCGTAAAATACGAAGTTATAATTAGGTAAATCATTTTATTTCGGAGTTTCAGTGGATTTTATAAGTTTTCTTTCGTAGTGTATTAATATTTTATTCTCTCTACAGAATTCTAAGTAATACTACAGAATAATCACAATTTATTATATCCAAATTCATTTAGGTACAGAATTTCTTATTAGATCACAATATAATCTATATAACTATACGATTACATTAATTTGTTAACTTTTAAGTGATCAAATTAAGTTAAATAGAATCAATGCAAATCTTGCAATCATTTTAAAATAAATTCATCATACAGTGTAATTTCTTATTTATACATTTCAATTATTGGCTATAGCGTCTGTGCAATGATCTTCTTCTTGTATTTTTTTAATACTCTGGTAATGTTTTACTGTATAATGACGTACATTGCTGCACACACAAGATTTGCATTAGATTATATGTACATATACATACAGAAGATATTCAAATTGGGAGCACAACTACTGTTATCATGCTATCATTATAGAATGTTTATAATCTACTAGTACACTGTTACATTTATGAAGATCATTTTTATTATCTTTATCAGTATCTAATAATTTCTTTGAGAATGTAAAATTTATACAACTGTAAAATTTTACAATAATTCGTAAGTATTGAATAGTTAACAATATTCATTGGTATGTAAATTTATCAATGTTGGAATGTCTCGCAATAAACAAAATGAGAAAAGACGAGTAAAAAAGTAATTAAAATAATATTACCATATAGTAAAGATGATAACATCAAACAATAATTGTCCTCACCAAAAAGAAAGTTGGTCTCTAGATGTAATCAATTAGCATCTGAGAATATTTTCACAATTGTTTTTACATAATATGCTGTGATCAATCATTGGTATTTATAATTATATATAAATATCATTATACCATTTACACAAACTGAGGTATATGGTAACTTTTCAGGAATTCTGTTCGTATTGCCTTTACGGCATATATAACTCAAACGAAAATAAATAGTTCGCTTAATTGGTACATACATCGTTCAATTTCTATACTATATTCGGTTAATTTTGATAATTTTCAAAATCGTCGAAAGAGTGTATCATATATCGTTACAATAATTCCGTTCTATTAAAATTGGAAATACTATTATAGATATTGTTGCTGCTGCAGCAAGGAAATTCATGTAAATTCAAATCACATGATTTAAAATAACGCTTTTTTTTCAATTTTCACCAATCATCGTTAAGTCGTAGGCCATAGATACGTTCGTTGCTGCAGTAAGGAACGCGTCAATCTTTCGAAGACGAGGGTGGGGATTCCCGACTATTATCGTTCGTAAAACTAGATAATCCGAGACCACTAGTTTCATGACTCGAGGAACTAGTTGGTGAATTACTCGAACTCCTGGCGCCACTGAGTGGTGTCACAGTTGTATTATCAACCGGTATTAAACCTTCTTTCATTCTCTTCTTCTGCTTCATTCTTCTGTTTTGGAACCAAATTTTAACTTGCGTTTCGTTTAACTGCAACGCTGATGCGATTTCAATACGCCTTGCTCTGGTCAGGTACTTGTTGAAGTGAAATTCTTTTTCGAGCTCTGTTAGTTGTTTGTTCGTGAAGTTGGTTCGGCCGGTATTGTTGAAGCTACCTGCAATACCGGCCATAGGTCCGCCGGTAAGACAGTTCACAGGACCGCTCGTCGTAGTTGCGTACGGGGATCCGTTTCCACCTCCAACTGTGCTACCGCCATATTCTCCCACATTTAGATTTGTCTTTGCTGCTGCAACAAATTTTGATCTTTCTTTTTATTTAGGAACTTTTTGTATAAAATTTACAAGCGCGTTTATATATATTGAAATTCTTTGCTTTATATTTACTATTCATAAAAATGTTAGCACTAGCAGTAACAATGCGAAAGAACTATTTTGACGTAAAGCTTTAGAAAAGTAAAACATCTGTGTAATTTTATATATCAATTACAATTACGAGATTCTAGTCATTAAGATTTATTATCAATATTTGTGTGATTCAGAAGGGCACATGTTGTGACTCAAATTCCTTTCCATCTTAATTATAGATGTCAATGCCCTTCGTACGTGACCGATGCGTTAACAGAAGAGGTTAAAAGTAATATATACCGAATTAAGCTTAACTCTGGTCCATCGAGCGACAGCCGTTTGTTGCCCAACACAGCTGGTCAATGTTCTAAGGAGCGAACCTGTCCACCCTTTACCGAAGACCGATAGGGTTAAGCCCTAAATCTGGATCAAATTGCATCAGCTGTTGTCGAATGTCAAGGGTAAGTTGTTACGTCATTTTATTTAGCCCGTATTTATCAACCGATTGGTGGTCACTCTAAAAGCATACTCGACTTGGATCATGTTAACCACCTTTCCCTATACGTGTATGTAATCACGAGATCGTTCAAATATTTTACTTTAAAAATAATAATCGTATCGAGCTGTCTGACAATATGTATATGACCACAGACAGAAATTAAGTTTCGTAATTACGATCTCGAGTCAAGTTATGTTGACGAGTGCCTATAGTCAGCTGTCGTGTTGGACTGACAGGCAAACGAAACAAACATAATATAGCCACACGAACCATGTTTCACATAATTTCGTCTAACAATTTCGATAATAATTTTACGGAGTAAGAATTTTTTATATCAATCGAATCGTAACACACCGTCAATGAAGCTCACTCGGAAACTCGATACGAAGTTCCAAATTGTTTACACGCGTGTTCATTAGCAGGGAATTTTTGGATATAAAGCAATGCAACCAAACTTATTCTAACTAGGGAGAAATGCGTTCTGATGAAAAAAGGTGGCGTCACTTACGCATTATGGAAATTAGATTGTTATTTAGCCTACCGGTATGTGGAAGTCAATTTACTTAATGGCAGAGGGCGGACAAAACTGTCAAGCCACCGCCTTAGAGTCACATCTTCTTTTTCACCCGTGTTTGCCTGTATTGCTCCATTCCCCTTATCACCTTTTTATATTTTACCGAATATTAGAAGTATTTAATTGAGACTCAAACGTATATTGAATCTAACTCAAACGAAAATCAACTTATTTTGTACGGATTTTATTTCACAGATTTTTCAAGTAATCTGATAACATCAGTCACTTAAACATCGCGCTCGGAACTTAGACGGCGGCCATTAAGCTCACGCATCTTCAAGCTGAATAATCGAGTTGGACAAGTTCTATTAGTCCACGAGCCGGCGTGGAACAATGGAATGTTTTCCGTTTTCGCCACTCATTCATCAATTTAGCACCTTAACGGAAGGACAGAGCGTGCGCTGCCGCTGATTTTCTCCTAGCCAGGCCGGCGAACGTCTCTATACATCAGTGATCATTAGTGCTGCATCCAAGTTTTTCTTGGATCTTTTAAAATTATATTTTTATAGAACATGAAATGTTCGTGGCAATGGAATTATGCGTTTCTTGCGTTGCCTGGGGTTTGTATATTACTATCTCATAAGAATGTGGATACAGAATGGTGTAGATAGAGACGTAAAGGTAACAGACTAGCTGACAATCGTATCGTAAACATTGCAGTTCACATACTTTTTGAATCAATAGAAAAAGATGATATATTTATAGAAAATACGTATCCCTTCAATTGTAGTATCTCTTATTTTTGTAGACAGTTCGGGCACTTGTTGATAGTTTTCTCTACTCGTCGTACAACAGAGAAGAGGTTAATTCTTTGTGAAATTATAAATTGAAAAGACTTTTATATATAAAGCTTCGTTTTCGTTGTACACACTGGTTTGGACCCATTTCGAAACAATAAAATAAAATGTACATAGTCGTACAAAATACGAGGCATCTCTGCAATCGTAGCACAACAGAGAACAGTGTAATTCTTCGCGAAGGTATGAATGAAGAGTATGAAATAAAATTTTTGCATACGAAGCCTCCTTTTCGAGGAAGATAACTTTGAAAATTCATCACGTATACGTATACTAATTTTAACTTTTTGAATGAGGAATCACCACTTTTCTCATCTAAGATTGTAGAAACACCCTGTATAAAGCAGAAGTCTCTTCGCGTCACTTTTAGCAGAAAAGGTGGATCTTCCAGCAAGGAGTTACTTTGTCAACTAGATGCAAGAATTCTTGGTAATCCGTATTGCTGTTTGACCATCGTTCAATCGATAAAATTCTTGCTTACAGTGTATCGTGTACCAGTCGGCTTCGCAATGGCAGTCGGTAGCCACGTCTGATTTCATTTCTCGAAAAGGCAAATCCCCGAGAAACGCTCGCTCAGGTGGAATGAAGGAATCACTTTCGATTAAGCGTTAGCGTGATATCCTGCCAACTGCTACTTACTCTGCGACGAACATTAATATTAGTATCGATTAAAATTGTTTAGTAGTACAATTATTAGATCGTGTTACCTCCTCAAGTAATGTTCATAATACTTCTTTGCCGCGTTTTCATCCGATAACATTATTTTAACGAAGGAATGCTTTTGTTAATTTTCAGACGGGCGTAATAGAATGCAGATTTGCTCTTGCAAAGAAATTCCAAACATTGTGTGTAAGGAATTGGACTATTGTCGATATTAGTATACATTGGTGTAATTTATGCGATGTTATGGATGTTTTGTAATGATCGTTCGAGTTAATTAGACTGTCAGGTAGTTTTTAAATAATGCTAAGATCAACTTAAAATTATATTGCTGAAGTGCAAATGAGAAGAGAACAAGACACAAGGGACAGCACAGGCTAAAGAATAGACAAATTGGCATGGGTTAAGGATTACAATTGGCCATAGCCCAAGGGAACCATAAATTATTTTCAGAAGTTTTTTTCACTTCTTAACTTTCTGTTAACTCTCTTATAGTCACATTCATAACATAGATCACGTGTGCAATTGAATAAAGCAAAATTCTATATCTGTTACAAATCTTGGCTTTAGTTTCCATTTTTCAGGTAAAGTATTATTAAATATAAATTACTAGAAAAACCATTCTACTCGTATGTATATATCATGTATGTTTCAGTGAGATCGCAGAAAATTCTTCAGAGATTGCAGTCCATACTCCTCGATCACAAAATGCCTTACAATTATCCATCTCTGCTTCGATAGAGTTCCCCCAAATCTCACTTCCTTTTGAGTTTACTTTAAATGAAATACGTTTCGCGTAAAATTTCCTCATGATAAAATTTCTTTCAGATAAAAATTTCTCTCGTCAATAATGTTCGGCGTGGTCATGGTTCCCAGCGAAAGTTGCTAGTAGAAGAACGACGAATTATTATATCCCTCGGGTGGCGCAACGTCAGTCGACCAAGTGCACTTAAGCTCGAACATGAATGTAATTCTCGCACGCTCGCGCGAGCCTATCGTCACACATGCGAAACACGTATACACGAGGTAAAACACAGGGAAACAGCAGCGTGGCCGCGGTTTCGAAGCATGCATGCCAGTCAGGCTTCGTTCAAAGGCCCCCGATTAAATCTCACCTGGCTTAATATTATTATTTTACGTGGCGCCTGCGAGTGAAAACGAGCGACCCGACGAGAGGGCGAGGAAATTAGAGAGAGTGCGAGGGGCGGGCAGGGAAGGTTGGATAATGCCAGTGGATAAAAGCAAATGGAACAGTGCAGGAAACACTGGCCGAATATCGTTCACGTGAACGATCTTTGTACCGTCTATGCAACCGTAATTCCAGTTATTTAGCCTCTCCTCCGACCTCCCCGGTTATTCGTGAGTAGAAACATTGTTCTGACTAGGTGTTTCCAGGTCTATTACTACTCAAAACTATCCAAGAACTGTTCAAAAAGATGCTTTCGTCATTAAGGAGTCGTTCGATTGTTGTTTGCAATTTATTGGGTTCGCAACTAAGTAATTGCGGATTTTGTCAATGTCATCTAATGACAAAATCCGCAACCACTTAGTTGGCAATCCAATATTAGATTTTTTTGAGGTCGGTGGAGGAATGTATAGAGTAAGGAGGTAGGAATTAAATGAAGCTTTTACAGAATCCAGATGTTGCATGGTTTTCACCCGTTCATTGTGAATCAGATTTTTGTTACATATAAATTGCCTTGTTAACAAATAGTTCTGCGCCACACCTGTATCTATGCAGTTAATCTTTATATGTACATAAATTGTAATCATTCGAACATCTATTACGTTCATTATATCTATTACATCTATCACACTATGTATACAGTGGTTCACGTGGAAGTATTATTATATATACATAATGTATTATATTATACATGTTACACGAGACATTTTGAAATATCACGAGTAAAGATATGATTGTATTGGTTGCACAAAAGGTTTAGTTTTTTACGGCGAGTGTTCAAATATTGTTGGTAAATTGTACATGTCTTAAAGTTAAATATTCGTCGATTATTCAAGTGCTACGAAAATATGTGCGTTATTGTATATCTGATAGAAGTGGACATTCGGTTTGTATCACGCATCTAAGTTGGTATCATACACATATCTTGAAAGTACGTGTCGACTGGTCATGTGTAGTGAATGTGTTAATTACAAGTTTTAATCGGTTCGTTTCATTATATGTACGTTGATAATTCGTTCTGAAAGCAGGGGAAAAAGGAGAAGATCGAATCGAAAATAAAACAGGAGAGGTAAAACGAATTGAGATCGAGTCTCTGCGAAAACATTAAGATCAATCTGGTTTAGAGTTCCTACTCTCGATCCGGTTCTTCGAGGATGCGTTTATTAATCGTAGAATTGCGATCCTGCAGGTCGATAGGGAAAATATTGCTATGTAATATGTAGCCATTCGGTTTTCATCGTTATAATTTATCAATTGCTAAATAATTATGCCACCTATAATAGCACAAAGTATCGTATTCTGTGATACCTACACAATAAATTTAACGCAGGAACTCTAGTCACGATAGTCTTCAATTCTTCAGATACAAAATTCAAGAAAATTTTCTTCTAACCTAACATTAAATTATGTAACCTTCTAATATTAAATTATGTACAATAAATATACAATCGAGGGAAAGGATGAAAGGAGGTTAGAAAATATTATTTCTTGTTGTGGTTACTAAAAAGAAAGTCGATTAATGACAATCAATTTTTATCTATTTTCACTGCATTCTGATTTTTTCTAATTGGTCATATTCTCCTAATTAAATTTAGTAAATTCCAGGATAATATGTACGACGATTTGGTACACCGAACAAGCTTCTTTAATGGTGTCGATAAAATCGTAAGACGTTAATCCGTTGATTATACGGGATCATTTGGCCTTGTGGTAGGGAACGTGCCCCTGTTAGACGAGCATTACGCAATTCAAATATTATTCAAAGGCTAAAAGCTAGGGGGGCAGGGCGCAGATGACGTAGAAAGGAACTAGAGGGGATGAAATGTGTGCGTGCGAGCAGCCATAGGGTATTATGTTACCGGAAAGATGGACCTGGATAAGGGCACCAGTTTCCTTCCTCTTCGGATTTTCTTCGTTGTCGAGCAATGGTTTTCTTCTGTTTTCGAGAAAATTTCACTGTAAATCGAGGATAAAATTTTGATCGGCTGTGCTTGGTGATCGGCGATTCATTAACTTCATATCGATTTTTAGTTTCCATTATATATTATCTGTTAAGAATATTATTTATTTGGAAATTATATTGCTTATTGGAAATTAAATAAATTTGCACCTGACCATAGTAAAAGTTGATAATCATTGAAATAAATTATTAGAATTCTTAGAAGATTAATCGTGGCAATTTGACTGTTTTGCTGTAATAGCGTGTTTCAATATTCCAACTGTACCGATAACATTAAAATTGGTCTAGTCATTTCGCAGTCATTAATTCGAGTATTTTAATCATTTTCTTATTACGATAGATGTATTGCTTGCGTTTCTAGAAATCTGAACAGGGTAGGCCGTAGGTCAAAAAAAAAAAAAAAAGGATCCACTCGTCAGGATCCAGCTGTATTTGAAACTATCTGATTTCCACATCCGATTACATGCTACAACGCCATCCTAACTTCTTTTAAGCAAACATTCCACTCATATCCCCGTATAATTGAATGTTTCTTTACAAAGACCAAGCTTGAAGACTGCACGGACCTCGAGTAATTTTCCAAGGTTGGTCGTTAAACATAAACTTAGGAAACAATCTCTTTCAATATTTATAACAAAAATAAAGCCATTAGAACGTGTTATTATGGAACAAGTAGCATATAGTAGCCATCAACCGGTATACATCCTCGGAACATCTTGTTGCTGTTTGACATTCCGTAATAACTTGTTTAATTTATTACCTTTAAATATTCCGCGTTTATACTCACCGCCTTATCTCGGTCCATAATGGACGTTGTAAAATGTCATCGTTCATTTTTTCCGAAGTTTCAAAAGCAATTTGCAGAGTTATGTCGCGTTTTACCAATAAATATCGAGTCTGCTGCGCAGAAGCCTTTCGCGAAACGCGAATTGTTCGTTCGTCGGTTGTAACGAAGCTCGTTGAACGGCAATAAGGGATATCGAGACGTTTAACGAGCCTCGTAAAGTCGTTATTGTTGCTTGAACGACGTCAATAGCGCGATCGTGTTTTACGTTTGTGCGCGTGCTTTGTTACAACGCTCGTTCGCCAAACGTTCCTCAAGAATCGCTCCAGGATTTGATGTGCACGAGTTTTGTCGCGTCACGATTCCATATGCATTTCTACGGCAACATTTTATTTCACTGACCAAAACATCAAATTCCTGTTAGTTTAAAAAACATATTCGTATGTCTTCCTCTTCAGCGAAGTGTATTTTTCATCAAGTTCTACATTTTTATGGTATCAAATTTTTGTAGCGTACTATAATATTAGTAAATGATGCAAAATTGACTATATATGTATAGAATTAGTACCAAAATGCTGTAATAGATATAATGGCGCGTAAATACTTATTATGGCGAGCGTATCTGAACACCTGAACTCGTCGAGAGACAATGGATATAACAATGACAATGCATATGAATATATATGCATATATATTCATGTAATAGTTCACCAGCTTTCTCCGCTATCTATTGGGCTGGCAAATAACTAACTAAACTAACTAGCTGCCAACCCAATAGATAATTCTTACTCAATAATATAATAAGTCATGACACAGATGATTTTTTATACTTTTGATTCCACTATGTTGCGTTATTACGCGTTAATGAAGATCAGAAAATTCGACAACAGCTGTTTTTTGTTTCTAGCAAATCGTTTATTTCGTATGATGAAAGTAATCGAAGAATACAACATCTTATTGGGTTGGCAACTAAGTGATTACGGAGTTTGTCATTAGGTGGTAATGTTAGGTTAGTTGCTAATCCAATATTATTTTTTAATTGACCAAATATTTCTCAATTAATCGCGTAATCGTTCCAATAAATGGAGTTCTATTGTACACTGAATTGAAAGGGGAAATACGAGCTCACATATTTGCGGCGGATAAAAATTTATGCGCGTGCGATTGAATGTATTTATAATATATTGTTCGTCGTATTTGATAGCCATAACATGGCACGTTATGGATTCTATCCACATTCGGGATATTGATTAAATAGAGAAAGGAATCACTCGCTTCCGGAATTTCACAAACAGTGAATTTAACAATCAGTGAATTTCCTTAACCCTTTGCACTCGGAATTTTATTTCAGTTTCGTTACCAGCAGCTGCCAACGCTTTTAAGCGTTTTATTTGAAATTTACATTAACTAATGAATAAGACAATTTAAATAAATAAAGGAAGAAAGAAATTCACTTAAATATAGTTTTATTCACACTATTGTTGTATTTTGTAATTTTTAAGTGTATGATATATCTTGAAACAATTTCCAGGTTACAATCTATTAATTTGGATCGACAAGGGAGCTGCTGAGATAAAAACTGATGTCGAGTCACACTCGACATAGCAGTGTAAAGGGTTAATATTCTTTGAATACCGAGGATCTTTAACAACATATTGTTCGCAGGTATCTCAAAATTTATATTATTTATTACTATTATTAAATATTATTATATTACTTTTTAATTGTATCATCCTTCTAATAAACCGACCATTTAAATAAAGAATACGAATGAAGGGGAAATCCGATCTCGCCATTTATCTGTATCACGTGCTGTTATGAGAGCTTGCAAAAGAATGGATCTACTTACATACGTACGTACAAACGAATGTAACTATTGCACGCGTACTCTCTTTGCATCTGTCCGAGCAAATATTTTCTCACGATTGTACCGACTGAACGATAACGCACGTTACTCTAAATCATAGATAATAGATGGTTGGTGTATTAACTTTCTGTTTTCTTCAATTTTTGATGACCCCCATAGCGAAGGCAGTCATGTCTTTTTCATTGAATACTTAATAACACAATTAGGATTAAATATAAGAACGTTTGGAATTTAGAGAATTCTTAAGGTTCGGTAGGAGCAAAGCATCGTTACATGAATTTGTACAGTATAGAAACTAATTTCTGATCTGTAATTAGCTAATAGATAAATCGTTTTTTCGAAAATTGTTATACAGTATATGTATCGATTGGATCTTGTCGATGTATATAAGAAGCAACAAAACAATTTTACTGACACAATTTCCTTCTGTTCGACCCCTTGTCATCGGGTGTCACGATGGCTACTTTGATTTCAGCATCGCGATAACCAATGTCCTGAGTCACTATAAACGGTGGGCTTTTGCAAACGAGATTTCGATCGAAACTACTTGGCCAATTATATAAAATCGACTGTGTACTATCAATGATCTGAATAAACAATTACCTTACTTTGTAAAAATAAAAAATTTAGCTAAACCATTGGAATAAGGTTAATAGTATATGTACGTACTCAACGAGCAAAGTCTGAGCATGGTAATGAATTCCGTTTTTGCCTTTCTCTTTTTTGGTAAGAAGTGTTTGCTTTTTAGTTAAGGCCGAAATCTGAATTTCTTGGCATGATCCATAGTGCCGAACGATTGCGTGCAGTCAGCTTTATTTATGGCCTCGAGGTCAGTCGATTTCGCGTATTAAGATTAACATTTTTATTGGCCTTGTTGCCTAGACTTTCTTGCTCCTCTCCAATCGATTTATGATGCTGCTTATCGTCGCACGGTGAAATGTAAGTTTCACTTATCCGATCGTTTTAAGATAACTTTAATCTAACCGCAATCCTAGCTAAATAAAAGTTCCATTTGATTCTTAAATTTAATTCTCGTGAAATCACTTCTATGTATTTAAGGATAAATTAATTGATTACAAATATCTGTATTTAACATGTAAGGTTAGGTCTTTAAACTTTCTTTGATCTAAATTACATCACATCTGATTCTTTTAACACTTTACCGACCGATAGTCGATTAATCGGTTCTTGTCACCGATGTCTACCGACCGATAGCCTATTAATCGAGTTTTTGTCTCCGACGCTCACCGACCGATAATCTATTAATCGGCTTTTTATCGCCGACAATCTTTCTCATTATTTGAGCAGTAATTTGTTATTTAGGACTAAGGTACCTTGCTTAGTTGTGTCAGTTGCGTTGCTTTGTAAGCTGCCACAGTTTTATATCAATTTGAAAAACGTACCGTTCGCGATGAACAAAAAGAATGGTATTGGAGAGTTCAAACCGAAACAGAGCCGGCGCTAGGGAGAGTCTGCGCCTGAGATGCCGGTCGGACGTGCGTATGCTGTTGAATCACTAGCAGTCGGTAAAATGTTAAAAGTTCGATGTACAAAGTCTGATTTAAAGATATACTGATTTCTATAAGGGTCATTTTCAATTTCTAAAAACCAAAATGATCGTTATCAAAATTAATGGAGATATTTAAGGCATAAAGAAGTTTTCGTTCTTTAAAGAACTTTAATGGAGGGCTTTGCCATGGAACTGATAAATTTCCAGACGATTTTTAATTTGGAAGAATAAAACGAGATTATAGGAGTTGTGATCTGTTCTTCTTGCAACTAAAAATTCATTAACAGATAA